AAGTTGGGCAAGTATTGAGCTCAAGATAAAGACTGGCATTCGTTATAATTATAGCGCTTTAATCTCGCGGACCATAGAAATAATTAAACTAACGCTTGGCCCAAATCTAAAGGGCTTTTCTTCGACCGGAATCCACAAGTAACAAGTCGGGCTTCAATTAAACTCAATTAATTAATATGTTATCCATTTTAATGATTGTTGGTCTTTAAATATCAAAAGAAACTAACATAAGAATCGTTTATTGTCTGTGATTAAATTGAGGCACGGTTCACAAAGTAAACAATATACACTAAAGTCTATTCCTTTTGCTCTTCAATGAAAGCTTAATCCTAGAAAATATCACAGATAAATTGAATAAATTGGCCGTAGTTTAGATCCGTGTTCTTGCATTGATTGAACGAGTTTGTTCTGAAGCAGCCGAATTGTTGCGATTCAAAGCGTCGGTAAATGTTATAAACGCGCGAATTAGTTCCACAATTCGACAATAGTAGTACACGCGTCAAGCTACAACTCTCTGCTCCAACCTAAGTCACCTAAGGTTTTTGCAGCCCAGGACTAGTGATGTCATAATGCTATTGTATTGGCCAATCATCCATTGACCCAGAAGTCAAGGAATAGCGAGGCTGAGTATGAGATTAAAACCGCTCGAGGCGAAGATTTTCTAGACCCTGGAATCACTGTTAAAGTCTCGCTATTCCTTTGCTTGTGGGTCAATGGATGATTGGCCAATACAATAGCATTATGATATCACTAGTCCTGGGTAGGCGATTAAAGTGTGATTTAATATTTTGTAATTTCGGGCCTGCAACATTCCCGATTACTGCAATCCATCAAGTTAAGAAACAGTCTCTATTCGATTCTAACTTTGTCACTTAAGTTTGCACTTATAATCTGTTCACCACCGTTTCAGCGCTTGACAACAATAAATCAATTTCAAGTGTCCACCCTCTACCTAACCTCATGCAGTGGTAATTTGATGTTTTATTATTCAGCCTTAGCTAACAAACCTCTACAGTGATACCCAAATCAGCTCGGCATTAAAGAAGCCCAAGCCCAAGATCAATCGTTTTTCTAACTTCTCTGCTGCCAGCATGAACTTCTCAGAAAATATATCTTCTATTTACTTATTTTGACCTTTGAATATTAACTGGCGTGATTATACAGTCTTTAGTTGTGTTTACATTTTAATAGCAGCAAAAATTACTGCACTATTTCGATGTTCATAGTTCACCGTACGTTGGAGAATTATTAATGATTTAATCCCCAAGAATAAATTGCATGCTTACAAATACGAGCGAAAGTCTGTTAGATTTTAATTAAACTCGCAGACTTCAATTATGTTCTTGCAATAAAGCTAATTCATTTCCAACGATTTATTACCTCTCTTGGATACAATTAATGTCCGTATTTTGGATGCATTCGATTGTGGATTCCCTCTGAGGTCTTTCAAGTAAGAATAATATTAGTGAAAATTCTACTTGAAGAAGCTTGAGAAAATACCGTGTGTGTTTCAGCAATCAATATGAATTAACGTGCTCGTTCAAGTTTTGATTGTTTTATTTTTCAAGTTTTGACTGTTGCATCGTTTGCTGTTGTAGTTTTTTTGCGTCTTCCCATTCTCCCGCGCTTCAATGTTCTAATGACCAAACTATGTACATGAATACATATTTCTTCATCTTTTCCTCTTTAAAGTTAGATGATTGATTTTTAATGCAATTTTTTCTCTCATAAACGAGAGATAATCTAGTGCTGAAAGCGAGAGAAATTTTGGCAATTTCTCACTCACTGCTATTATTTAACAGTTTTTAATTATTAAATAATAGCTGTCAAAGTCATCACCAATATTCAGACTCAATTGAAAATGAATAAAAGTTTTTTATGAAATGTCAGTTACAAAACTAAAATATAAATTGACCGCTGTGAGGCAAAGTTCGTGACTAACTTCGACTCCAATAATCAAGGCTGGCCTGGCACGTGTACGAAAAACAATTCGCATGATATCTCTTTTCTCTTCATTGATATTTTGAGTTTACAAACATTGTAAAACTCTGACCGTGGTGGACAGTATTTATGAGCATGAATATAAGTATTATTGTATTCATGAATCTTAGAAATGACGACGAATCAAGGGTATCTTTCTTAATTATTCGATAGCAGGTCACAATAGAATTCGTAGTAATTCATGCTAGAATAGTTCGAAGGGTGGGTTAGAAGCCTCAGCACTTGTGTTTACTTGTATTCTATTCATCGGTTTGTCGAAGCAAGATGTCTTGGCAGTCAATATTGCTATTTATTTAATGATTTGTTGGAGTTCGTTTCTCCCTCACTCACGTTCAGTGTATTGCGAGCAGCATTAAACTTCAAGTGCTCGAACTCTATATAATCAAAGTCCACGATACGCTGTTGGATTTTAAAGATTGTTTACCACTTCTTTACAGAGAACCCACGACTTGTGAGACGTCTCTATTGGAATTATGAACCATAGTTTGATTTATTGAAGGTCGTCAAGTAACGTGAGTCAACGGCTTACTAAATTGTTAGTGTACGAAGAAAATCAAGATCGTGCTCTGTGTAAATAAAAAACTCAAATTAGTTAATTAAGAGATCGTCCTGAACGTTTCTCAGTAGGCATTGTTCGAAGGAAAATCAGCGAAGTTGGATGTCAAAACTATTTCCAGTTCGCGACAGCTAGTGTTTACGGTTAACGTGGCAGCTGGTGTTTACGGTTAGCGTGGCGGCTGGTGTTTACGGTTAACTTCACAGCTGGTGTTTACGGTTAACATCACAGCTGGTGTTTACGGTTAACGTGATAGCTTGTGTTTACGGTTAACGTGGTAGCTGGTGTTTACGGTTAACGTGACAGCTGGTGTTTACGGTTAACGTGACAGCTGGTGTTTACGGTTAACGTGACAGCTGGTGTTTACGGTTAACGCGGCAGCTGGTGTTTACGTTTCACGTGACAGCTGGTGTTTACGGTTAACGTGGCAGCTGGTGTTTACGGTTAACATCACAGCTGGTGTTTACGGTTAACGTGGCAGCTGGTGTTTAAGTTTACGGTTAACGTGCCAGCTGGTGCTTACGGTTAACGTGGCAGCTGGTGTTTACGGTTAACGTGGCAGCTGGTGTTTACGGTTAACGTGGCAGCTGGTGTTTACGGTTAACGTGACAGCTGGTGTTTACGGTTAAAGTGACAGCTGGTGTTTACGGTTAACGTGACAGCTGGTGTTTACGGTTAACGTGGCAGCTGGTGTTTACGGATAACGTGGCAGCTGGTGTTTACGGTTAACGTGGCAGCTGGTGTTTACGGATAACCGATAACAGTTTTTATGGCGCGTTAACGGTCCAAATATTCAGTTCCTGATGATTTTCTTTTACATCTCTGCACATTTTTAAACGGGAAACGCAGTGTAATGAGTAATTTTACATCGCAGTTTAATAAGAAAAGCTTATGCAACCCATTCAGAGCCAAAAATGTGCTCATTGAAGTTCTCTATTTCCCTTCAACTGCATTCAAATGTTTCACAATTTATTTCTGAGAGAAAATGAAGTTCTGAAATTTTACTGCGTCCTGCTTTTGTGCGTAGTTTCGGAGTTGATTATCTGCCTTTTATGAACGTACATCTGGCGCTGAATGCGAGCTGTAAAACTCTCATCACAAACTTGTTCAGAAAATAAAACTTTCCGAGCATGAAACGAGCCGTAAAAATGTGTCAATGGAGCAATTATACTCTTCTGTTCATTCGGAGTGCATTGCATACTCTGTTTTAAGTTATAGATCATTCAAATGGGAAAATGGGAGGATTTTCTGGGCGTATTGTAATCTAGCTGAAGTATTGCCGCTGTGATATTGATATATTATGGCACAAACGTACAGACATCACTAATAATAACCAGCCTCTCACTCACGACTTATGTCTGTTATGCAGAGTGTTACACCCATTGAAAATTCATGGCAAAAGCTTTCTTAACTCGTCGTAAGTTACAAGATTGAAATATACCAAAATTATTAGTTCCATTCTAATAAATATATCAGAGCAGCAAATTTCGAAGCCGAATACGATTAATTACTACGTTGATTATTAATAATTGCCCCACCATTTGTAAGCAAACAAATTTATTTCTGCCAATGAAGGAAATGTCGACAGAGAGTCGCAACCGGTTCGGCATCCAGGCTCGGCAATCGAAATTAAGAGATTGATAAATTTAGAAAAACTAATATTGACGAGAAATGTATTTTAAAGTATTAGAATGCTTGTGAACTTCAAACATCACTGCGGACGGATCTCCCCTACTGCGTTTATGTGGCAGTAAATGACGGGAGAATAACGCCGGTGAATCCATTTAATAAATGCTCTAATTGCTTTTAAAAATGGCCCTCAGCCAGTAGCCAGTGAACCCTTCATTAGAACCGTCGTAGTCTATGAATATCACGTGAACTTAATATCAAGCAGTTGTTTGCTGTACCTACGAAACTACATGTCAGCGTACAGCGAACATATGGTCACTACAAATTGATGTTGGAGGAACAGAAATTAGCACGCAGTTTACAATGATTGGATGACGAATATAGCAATTTGTCCACCACATTAAGGGAGTTTAACATGCTTTTCTATGCCGACTATGCATGGAGTACACTTTGAATCTTACAAACATTCTGCAACGTACGATTGTCTATAAAATATTTACAAAATATATGTTAGAAAATTATTGTGGAAGCCACTCAAAATGGACAAAGAGCATACTCATAAACGAAAAAAATGTATTTGTGAAAACAAAATTGAAACTTTCTAAACTTCGCCTCTGTAATTCTCTGCAATATATGTTCATTTCGTCATTAATTACTTTACTGCGACGCCTTTGCAATTACATGTATCAAATAAAAACCTATTATTTGGATTTTTTAAACTTCGAAATTTCTCGCGCCAGTCAATATCTCGCGAGGGTTGATACTTGCTTCATAAGCGCATGAGCTTCTCAATTAATAATTATCTCGATGGCAGGTATTGGTGATCACGTCAGAGGAGGAGCAGCCTCGCGTCCTTACGGTTGGGCCGATCTTCTCGCCGCTGTCACGGCTGGAAGAGGTTCACATCACCCGTGCTAACGTGCCTGCAATCGGCGAGAACAGCTTCTGGGGTCTCACCCACCTGCGACTCCTAAACCTCACCCACAACAACGTCAGCTCCATCCGCGCTCACCATCTCGCCGGCATGAGGACCTTGCAGGTACAGCTAGCCCCGCCACCTTAACTTGCAGGGTCTAGCGTCTGATGCTCGCTGGCATTAGTACATTGGCATAGCAGCTCTTTAGTTTGAGATCGACCGTTCATAGCTGATTCAAAATTTATAAATTTAAAAGGGATTGAGGGTTTTTTTCTAACTAGTGTGCATTCCAAAAACTCGCTCATGTCAGGCAGTCGACGTTGTTTACCTAGGTATTGATATAGAATTACAAAATTGGGCAAACTCAATTGCGATACACGAGTAAATGATGACACAATATTTACTTTATTTTCTATTTTGTCGATTTTGAGTAGAGGGTAAAATTTGGAATATGATTTCTATTGAGATCGCTGGGCTATAGTTCATATACAGTGAGTAACACTAAACGTCAGGATTATCAAAGGATTCGGAATAAGATAAGTCATGAACCCTTCCAAGGATCTTGACAAGAATTTCTATTGATATTCCTCAAAAACACTCCACAGAAGCTTTGAATGACTCGATCTGTAGAGCGTCCCAAACGCTTTTAATAACAGAATCCTAGGTTTTCCCTCATCAGCACGACCGTACATTTTACATAGATTGAGTTTCCTGCTAAAAATTATCGCATGTAATGTGGGAAATTTTACCGTTATCCACAAAGTGAACTCTCCCGCCCATTTTAGAATAAGCAAAGAGCTTCCAGATAAATATCAGATGCACACCGAATTTCCGCGCTTTGAAGCGGGCTTTCAATTCCGTTCCTGGCACATACAGAGTAAACTGGACCGAAAGAGATGGTTCAAACACGCATCACGCTCTCGTTGTTGGTATCTTATTGGCAGGGCCTGTCCGGATTTATCGTAAATAAAATTCGTTTAGTACTTGAAAATGTATTTATTTGCATTAGGCATAATATTTCGAATCACAATTACATTTTAGGGTTTGCCAGGATAAATGCACTTACGTTGGATAAATGCGCGAACTTCTCACTCAAAATTAGGCAAAAGGTAACATGTTTGAGCTCCAGCTGATCCGATTTTTTCAAGAAGCAGGTAACAGAGCTTGATAATTTAAACGTGTTTCTACGATTCAACGTTCAGCATTCGCTGACTAAAAACAATTGATGAACGCAGGTCCGAACAAATTATATAAATACAGCTGGAGACTCCACTTCAGAGGTGACAAGTAAGATCATGTATTCAATGCAACGTGTACCATTCAACCGACTACTTTAGCTACCTTTTAAATATCCTACAATTCTCTTTTATAAGCTTGATGCCACAGAATTTGGCCCGGCTACATGGTATGGGGAAAATGGCTTCTCACGCAACATAAAATAAAGCAATCCGCCTTACTCCATCAACAATGGGAGGCACGTGTATTCCTAAAACGTTACGAGGCGTATTGTACTGAATAGCTTATGAATAACGCACATGATCAAGAAAAAAAAATCGTTGAATTATCGGAATCAATCCAGCTTCTGACTATGCAAAATTTTCCATTTCTATAAAATATATAATTTTTTTCGTAATCATTTCCTCGTGTTTTCTAATAATTTGTGGCTTACGTATCTTTGGCTATAACTGAGTATTTTTGTGCAGGCCCTTCATTTGGACTACAACAAGATCGACTCGGTGTCTTCAGCGACGTTCATGTCACTGGAGAAGTTGGAGGTCCTGACACTCGCAAACAACCAATTGAGGGGACTCACGCCGAGGATGTTCTTCCTATTGTCATCCCTCAAGACTCTAGACCTGAGCGGCAACCCCATCAGGGAGCTGGATCCAGAAGTACTGAAGGACCTTCCATCATTGCGTATCCTTCGGTGCGCAAATTGCGAACTCACGAGAATTCGCGCCCAGGTGTATAAGAATGTCATAGAACTCGAGGAGTTGGATCTTCGCGATAACAAGATTGAAATTCTATCAGCTGAAGAATATATTGACCTTAAGTACTTAAAAACCCTTTATCTCGACGGGAACCGACTTTTTGAGCTTAGAGATAACATATTCAGAGGTCTTGGTTTACGTTTCTTGGGGTTATCGAGAAATCACATGGAGAAAATATCTCGTTCTGCTTTTGAAGATAGCACCGTGTTAGCTTTGGATTTGTCGTCTAATAAGCTGGGTTTTTCAGCCATCCGCCACTTGTACTCTATTTCTGAGCACATCCACGAGCTGAATCTGAGCAACAACAAAATAAGCCCCCACCATATGAGCGAGTTGCTCAAACGAGCAAGTCGGCTCAAGCAGCTCGACTTGAGCCGCATGCACCTCAAGGCTCTCCCGCCTGACTTCTTCCAGGCTCAAGCCAAACTCGCAAGTCTAAACGTTTCGAAAAATAATCTTAAATTCCTCTCTGTAGAAACTTTGCACTCACTGCCTAATTTACAAAAACTTGACTTAAGTGATAATAATATCCAAGGTCTTCCAGAAGTTGTATTAAGACGTCTAGATCGAATTAGTCAGCTATATTTGTCGCACAATCCTTGGAATTGCGACCAATGTAACATTCCTTACATGAAGACATGGATTAACAATTCCAAAGAGTTTCGAGATGCATGTGTCCCAAATGTTGATGCCGCGAATTGTCTGAAGTGTCAGTTGCCAGTCGAGATGTTCGATAAACCTATTATAGAAGTCGATGGCTTGTCACTGCAGCCGTGCCCTGAAGGTTCACTCGTCTCGCTCCATGAAAGTGGCAGCAGCTCCACGTTTACGCTCATATTAGTTGTCGCCATATCGTCAGTAGTAATCTTGTTGCTCGTCGTCATCCTCTTTGTAGGGATAATCATGTACAATCGCCACTCGGCCTTCTACTATACGCATGAAAACGATGCGCGGTGCCACTTCTACGACAACCCAGGACTACAGTCCAACCACACCGACGTGACCATGGCAGAAGATTTGGATAAGATCCAGCAGGTGGAAGTTGACGAACCGCTTCCTGATCCTGAAATAGGAAGAGTCCCCAAAGATTCATTCTTACCAGACTCTGTGGACGCTGATGAACCATCAGTTGAAGCTTCAGCCGAACTCCAACAAACCCTTCGCCTCGCCATCGAACGTAGAAAAAAAAGGAAAGCCCCCATGCCGAACGCGACGTCATGAAAAATAGCGAAACAGAAAGATGTTTAGTCCAGTGTCGTTTACTTGTAAGGATCAAGACACGCTGAATGCTCTGTTGTAACGGTTATCAAATTATAACATCAGGTACTGTAAATAATTTGTGTACAACTGCGATACCGCAAAATCTCTGCTAGCATCGCCGCGCGTAATTGCGTGGTCATTATTGTGCCTATATGTCTAGATATCATAGAAATAGAACTTGCTAACGTGATGATTTTCATATTGCTAAAGTACCTTGAAAATTCAAAACCAGCAGTTTTTTTACTTCTTAATCTTTGGCAGACATGAATTATTTTACCACATTCTGACATTTCAAAAAATTCACTTGCTATTTGGAACTGAAAGTGTTTCATAATAATTTTACTGATATATTTTATGACATGCATTACGATCAGAAGCAACAAAAACTTATCATTTAAATTTTACACCTTTCAGCAATGTATCATCTGAAAGAATTTGAATTGGAATTCGCTGAAAAATCTGTTAGCTGACCCGACATTTTTAATCGAATAACGTATGCCTGTTCAACGGCTCAAAAACTCATTCATTTTAAAATTTTCGTTCGTTAGTTCTGTGATCCGACTATGTGCGAATGTTATTTTAGGGATGTTTTCAACGTACAATAGTAATTGTTGATATTTTTGACGACGACAGTGCGTTACAACAGAAAAATCCAGCAATACCATGTCACACTGCATTTAAAATTATTTAAACTTCAATTAAAATCAATTATACATGAATTAAAATTATTTAAACTTAAATTAAAAATATAAATGTCATATTTACTTGCGTTTTCGTAGCACTGCAATTAACACATTAACAATTTTACGTTGGAGTTGCCATAACATATAATCATAGTGTAAATCAGGGATATAGATGTCAGGATGTATCAACTCTTATCTTGACATCAGATTAAGAGCTCTATCAGCTGAGCCAGCAGTAAAGTGAGGCATGAAATTCAATCTTTATTCTATAAGTTGTCTTCACCTGGTTTGTGATAGGTCGTTGTGTACAGGTGATCCGGGGCGCCTGCGCTACTATCATCCAAGTAGGAAGTCTTCCAGAGTTTTTATGCTAGTCTTGTTGCTGTAACTTTTCCAAAGTTCGAATTTTGCAAAATCTTGTATCTCTGGGGACATTCCTAAGTGTTGCATAACAATGTATCAGTTCTGTAGGTTACAAATAATAGTGTTATGAACAGTTGCAACGCTAGAGAACATTGTTTGGAATTCAATCGAGAGAGCGCAACCGCATGCATAGAACTTAAATTTCCCACCCGTCTATGTAGCGTCTGCTGTACTAATCTCTCCTACCTGACCTTGCTTCCCTCTTCTCTTACCAAGACTAAGGAATACATGATGCTGGGCAGCTAGTCGATACAAAGGCCTGACTGCTGAATGTCTTCTCAGGGCCATTTCACCCTAAATCTAAATAGGCTCTAGTCGTGCGAGCCAACTCGTTCCCAACTACAATCAGTGTTAATGTAAAATTAAATGTCACACATGCACATAATACACATGCACATACACATCAAGTGTATGCTGTGTATAAGTTGTTTCTATGATGATTTTCTATCCCTCGTAGCTCCTATATATGCTGCGTGAGTGCACTCGAATGAAGATTCTAATTTGATATAATAATTATTCGACTTTTAAAGGAGACTGGAAGGATTAAAATCAGAACCGACAGTTGAAAACAGTAATGAGTTGAAAACAGTCATCTTTCTAATAAGGTAGCAATTCTAGAATATCGGCTGATGAGTTCTGAAATGTAAAAATATGTGTAACACTGGGCGTAATTGTACAAGTTTTATTCATTATCCTCTCTTTTTGTATAATTATGTAAATTTGTAGCGTCATGGTTATCAATCCTCCTGAGAGTGACAACCTGCAGATATGATAGCACTTCTTCGCACGATCTCGGTTCTCGTATAAAAATTCATATTATTTCTAACTCTATCCTAAATCACACTCTGATCAGCCGCGTGTGGAGTGAGGAAACTATTCTTTGCTGATGAGAAAGTGGAACAAGAACTTTCACACAGGCAGCAGCGGCCGTGCCACCGTTACAGAGATCGCGTTAAAAATGGACCGCTGCAGCTGTCACGTTTTCAGTCAGAAGCTGCATAGGTCGGATGGAGTCATACAGCCATATTTAAGATGTTTTACTAGGACCTTCACAACATTTTCTGCTAGAACTTCCTAATGATTTGTCTTGGCAATGGCAACACGTGTTATTTTCAAGCTCAGCGGTGAGTCAGCATGTGATACTCGGACTTAATTCTATCTATAGGCAAATGCAGGCGCATATTTCTGAGCGATTAGAGTGTGAGCCTCAGGCAAGCTGCAGTTCTGCAGCAGCGACGAGGTTGCCATGCGCTACGTATAAATAGCGGCTCACCTTCAATGCTTCCAGTTCTCTAACGACGTCGCTTGAGGGAGGTTGTGGTAGTATTTCTCGGACTCTAACACAAGGTCATCATTTACGTTACTCTAATTGTGTCACTCAGATAAAGTCTGCACGTAGACACGATATTGTCTATCTTTTTCAGACAACTGTTGCTGAGTAATTTCTGCCATACGAACATCTGGCGTGCCATTCACTGATTCAGTTTCGTGCGAAAGCCACCAATTGTGAACAACTCATGTTCGTCAAGGTTTACGGTAAGTATCAGACACAAAACTAAATTAAATGTTTTGAACTTTAGAAAACGTCAGAGTTTATTCCTATGCAATGCCACATTTATGTAGGTATATAAATTAGCTGTCTAGCAAAAATTTCCGTGTTTTTATGTCGGTAGATTGTATTGACTGCTTTTGAACAAATTATATAGATATTGTACAAAATAAAACGGATTTGCGAATTTATTTTATTGCAATGAGGCAAACAACATCAATCAATTACCTCTAAAGGATCAATCGCTTATACTTACCATAACTTATATTTAATTATGACAACCTGCTAGGCACAGGAACGTCCAGAAGTTACGTTGTGATTTTAGAATTTCTGATGAAGGCCTTGGTAAGTGTGGTGCTGGACTGCTGGACATTGGTGAATCAGATGACTAATGCGTGGCTGATCTTGCATTTTGCTTGCGATGTTGCGTGCGTGTGGTGAACAAAGCTCTTCTGCATGAGCATGATGTGGTGAAAGTGAAAGGTCAAATAACTGACTGCCCTGTCTTTTTGCGTGTCATTTAGCTTAACTTCTGATGGAATCGAACTTCTCTTGGTCGCATAATCTTGCGATAGACAACTATTATGTTACAGCCAGTAATTTAATGCTCAAATCACAACACCGATATCAACGTTTTTTCATGATCCACGGTAAGACATTGAAAACTTTTTGTTTTGTACCTGATCCTCGAAAAATGCAGTAGAATTCATCCATTGCCGTCGTACGCCCGAGTCTAGAGTTTGGAAACGTTGTGTGGTCACCGAGATTCGAAAAGGACAGAAATTTAATAGAGAATGTTCAAAGACGTGCAACAAGGATAATTCCAGGCTTGAAGGGCAAGTCCTATGAAGAAAGATTGAAGATTATGAAGCTTCCAAGCCTCAGTTATCGACGTCTGCGTGGGGACCTCATTGAAGTATACAAGTATACTCATGGTCTATACAAGGTCCCTGAAGGGTTACTAGAATTTGAAACAAGAACCAACACCAGGGGCCACGGCTATAAGCTAAAAAAATTGCGCTGCAACTTCTCCACGCGACAAAATTTCTTCTCGCTTCGAATCACCGACATGTGGAACAGCCTCCCCGATGACATCGTTGGCGCTCCAAGTATGAACGCGTTCAAGAACAGACTAGATAAAGCTATGGAAAAATATAATATATATGTTCAGATTTGAAATGCCTAGCTCCTTATCGAACCCGGTGGAAGTCGAGTAGCTTCTTCAAACTATCGCCAGTCATGAAAAGATCCGGTCAAATGACACGAGTTTAGATCTTCTGTGAACAAGGCACGAAATGGAAAAGAATCGGCGACAGGCCACATCAGGCCTACACTTCAGAGCCGACATCACTATGTTATGTTATGTTATGTTATTGGAGCGGCATCACTCGTCCACGACCACCACACCCTCGCTGCCCGCCAATCTGGACTCATCCGGTTTTCAGGAACTGAAGGTGTTTAGACTTTAGAAGGTTACCCGCAAGATATAAATAGATTCACTTTGTGGCTTGAGCCGAATAACCAAAAGCATACAGAACCTGGTTTCAGCCAAATGATTCACCAACACCCGGGATTTTCTGAAGGTTGATTAATAAGCCTTCTTTTTTATCTATAGTTTTTCTACTAAATTCTAACAGATTATTATCTATACCTATTAGAAACATGACCTACTCTTCAATGATCATTATTAAATTGACTATTGCTTCAAACTCGCGTTGCCAATGGTAGAAGAGAATGGCGGCTGCGCGCGAGCATGGGTGCCTGGGTCATGGTCATTCGTAATGGAACAAAGAATTTTCCGGCCTGGCGATTGCGAATGTCCTCAAATTCTGTTTATTGTGAAGGTCACAGGAAAAAACATTGTATCAAGAGTTTTGTGGTTATTCTTTGGTGTGAAGGCACAATAGTCGCCGCTGCAGGAATACTGCTTAGAAACGATTCGATAGGATCGACATTAGTTCTTGTGTAAAAATTAAATTATTAGACTTATTATGATAGATTTAGGGCAAGCTGCCTAAGGAAACATCGCACTTGCCAAAAATTCAGCATAGTCGTAGAGCACAAACTTGTTCATATGCATCCTGCTCACTGTGCGCGTATGCGTGAACCTCACGAAGTTTTTATGTATTTCTTCAAAACTGTTTGTGATCGAGTATCACTTGCAACCGCTATTAGTTGCAGTGTAATTCCGCTAATATAGTTGTCATTATTAGCAATTTGATTTACATATGGCGCTAATAATGGAGGCATGGAGTAAGTTGTATTTTAATTATACCAATCGGCCGCCGAGATCAGGTAAGTGGCACGTGGTAATTGATGCAAGTCGTTCGCAGAGTATCTTGTGTTTGATCATAAAAATTGTTATGCAGATGAAAAATTTTATGGCCCGAAATTTTTTTGCGTATCCGATGGAACGTTCGCGCATCCCCCAGTGTTACACGTTGCCTTCAGTTTGGGAGCCACGCTATAGTTTAGTGTGTCGACATCCAGAAACTATGCAGATAGGTTGCAAGCTTGCACACCATTGTAACAAATAAAGTGTGACTTTTTATCATTAGGTTCACATGGATGGTTTTTATTGGTTATTCGACTTGCTATATTTTGAAATAACTTATCAATCAAAAACGATTTTAAGGTAAATATGCAGTGAATAATTGTGGTCTGGGTAACAGGATGAGTATACCAGTATTTTAACATAAAGTTTTTGACTTTTTATTAAGCTTTTGATGTAGTAAATCACAAAAGGCTCATTTAAATGTTACAACAGCTGTTACGTATTGTTCCATTTTAAATAATTGACGTTCGCTGAACTCTGATTATTCTCCTTTGATATGATCAATCGCCTCTGATTAATATCCATCAGGGTTGCCCAGTGGTTACACATACAGTTTAGAGGACTAGGATTGGAGCAGAGAGGTGCCAGCTCTGCTCAGCTTCGATGCCAGCTCTGCGCGCCACTTTCTGGTCAGAATCGGCGAGGAGGCCGGGCGGTTAATTTAAACAAAATAGGAGCAGTGAGTTGCGAGTTCGAGACCGCAACAAGCTGTGAATATCCTGCGCTGTTAAGAATCGGCGACATACCTTCGGCCTATAATAAGCGCTGAAACCGCTATATTATCTAATAAAATACATTTTGCACATACAGGATTAAAAAAATACACCCAAAGAATTAAGAAGCTATTAAATAATAGATTATATTGGCATTCTTTGGACAAAATTTTTATTTTTTGCTTGCTTGTTCCGCGATTACTAAATGATTTTTTTTATTACCGGATGCCGACTATATTCCGATTTTAGATTACCCTTTGGGCGTACGAGTTTTGACGGCTGGCGAGTGACGGGCCGTAACTCGGATATCAACATTGAGTAATATTTTTACCTCGATTTTATTTGAACTGTGAGTATATTTCCTTAACTAACGGATCATCTGTCCCGCAGAATATATATAAGTATATATTCAGGGTTTGGACTAAATAATGAAAACGCCTGACAGCTGACACTTTGAGATCGTAATTTTTAAACATGTTATGAACAATGAAATTGTGACATTTTTTATGTTTTATTCAAATTATTGTGTAACGTTGCTGGTAATTGACATTTTATCCTTGCACAAATATTTTTAGTTAATTTTTGTGTGTATAACCTATAAATGGCAAACATCTCTGTCTCTGACTTTTAAAGAAGCCAAATTGTTGGTGCAATGGTGCCATTTGGCATATGGCAATAATAATGGCATAGTGACAAACCAGAGATTTTTTAGAATCAGTTCATTTTTAATCTCCTCAGTCCTCATTTACTCAAGATTTAAACCAATTTCTTATGTATGATAATGCTGGTAACTGCCAACTGGTAAGCCTGGTGTCCATGATACTTTGCTTGTCTACTTATAGGACTCAAAAATGAACTTGAGGCCTGAGGGAGAGTCTAAAAAACTCTCTGCTTTGCCAGTATGCCACTATGGGCCATATGGCATGATAATGGCAAGTGCTAGTGTAATAACCTTCCTGAATGCTTGATGTTTCTAGAGATACCATCTTGAAACTCAAAAGTAATGCCTGCTTTTGAAAGAAGTTAGAAGTTAAAATGACCTCACCATTTACCAAAGCACAGGACTGAGTAGACTGACCAAATGTCAAACAGTCAAAGGTGTGAGAAAAACCGTCTGTCCAGGCAGCAGAATCGCAGGCAACATTGCGCCAACAGCCAACTGTTGGCCTATATACTTGACAGTTGACAAGTTGACATTCAATTTGGAATAGCAGGCAGAATTTTACAAAAAATTGCTGGTAATAAAGATCATTTTACAGATGATTTTTACAAATTGGGCTAGAAAAGTGTGCCTTTTTTCTTGATTTTTGTTTAAGAAATTATACAAAAGGTTCTGGAAATAGGTGGGTAACCACGCCTCGATGGCATCCAATTTGTACCTATTAATGCCAATGGGCAGAAGATTCCTAAAATTGCCAGTAAAAACTGTCATTTTTACATTTTACAAGTAATTTCTGAAAATTATAAGTGAAAATAGATTGTTTTTCTTGTTTTTCACTGGAGAAATTTAGAAACGTCCATAGGAATGAGGGAATTTGCTAGATTCATGGGTGTTTTGTCTTCACCAGTGGCTTCTGCCTAATTTTCCAGAAATATATTTTAAAAATGTGCTACTGTATATGGCAAAAATATGTTAGCCTATATTTTTATTACCTTTTATGTCTATTAATAATAAAAGTATAAAATTGATAACAATAATAATTGTTATTATTATCAATACATACTAATAATATATACTAAATAATTAGTGATAAATTATTAATGGGCACCAACCACCATTAAATCTTCTAACATATATTTCACCCATTTGACACTTCACCCATTTGACTTGGAATGGCACCACTTCACCATTGGCCATTCCAATATAAAATGATATTTGTGGCATGAAAATATCTATGTGCAAATAAAGTACAATTTCTATTTAACCTTATGGCCTCTCATTATATTTATATGCAATCTTCCCTATTGCATTGGTCATTTCATTTGTTTTATAGTGACCTGAAGTCCTGAACTGTCCAAGTTAACCACAATTCCATGTCATAGTCCCACTATTAAATATTTATTTTTTAACATTAATATAATATATAACATTAATGGACACTATTTTAAACAAGATGACACATAAAAAGAAACACAAAATATTTAACTTCTTGAGACCAAATATGCTACAAACATCAATTTAGATGAGAATGGTAATCTTCACTTGATATGAGAGTGATAGTGGGAGACCAAGGATCTCAAACTCTGGGAATACAATCACTTGCTCAGGCATAACTAATTTGAGATAATCTGGCAACTGTTGCCACATGACACCCCCTGTTAACAGCAGTCCCACAATATATTATATTTTTTAGTTTTTAAATGAATGTAAGGCACTCTGGAATAATGTGTGTTTAATCATCAAATGTGTTTTCATCCAAATCAATCCATTATTAGTATTGTGTCTACAGATCTTTTTCATGTCTATAATCGTTTCATTGATGGTCTGTTTATATAGAATGGTTTGTTTTTCCAGGACCTCTGCAGGCTGCAGGTATGAAGTGCCCCTTCTTGTCACGCCTCCCTGCGCAGTTTGTTCGTCACCATGGAGCTGCATTACTGCAGCAGTATGGGGGTTTTTGCACGAGGCTGCGTGCTTTGGCCTTGGAAAATTCTGGAAGCTCAGCATTTTCCACCTCAGCCACTGCTGCAATGCCCTCAACTGCACACCATGTTGATGCTTCTTCCACTTCTGGGCCTGGTAGGTAATTTATATGTCATCAGATTTCTTAATAGGATTTCATAATACCCCAAAGTTGCAATATGACTCTGTGTGATGATAAATAACTGAATTGTTGAGTATGGTGCAAAAAATAAACATGAGAGTAAAATACAAAACCTTTGTTTTTTGTTTACTTTTATTCACATTTTAAATAATTTATTTACTTTATATGAATATCTTGGAATCCACAATATTAATAATACCTTTGATATTTGATAGAATCATGCAGTTGCGCCATAAATTAAATTATGGCAATTAATTATTCCTTATTATTTGCAATAATTAAACACATTTGAGGTAAAAATAAGAAAGAATTTATATCCATTGCCATTTATTACAAACATGAACTGAAGTTATATATACCTGCAGCTGATGGAGGGAGGCAGTCACCAACTGCATTGAAGTGCCCTTTTCTTCGTGACGTCTCATCTGAGAAGCAGATGGACTCGAGTGTTGTGGCCGCTGCAAGCCCAGAAGTGCATGATGACATCATTGCTCTGAGCATCAACGAGAGTGTTGCTGGCGGTATGTACCTACACTTTTCAATGATGATTCTCAACCTAGTTAGTCTGTGAAGATGCAATTGCTTGGGACGATTGAAAGATTTTATATTCGGTTTATTATTTGAACTTGATATCTCATTCAATCTTGTCTGAGAAAAAGTGTACATATTTCTACAGTTACGATGATGGTCTTTAAATTAGTAGTTTTATATAGGTTACAGGTGATTTCTTCAAATAAAATTTATTAATTCTTTACTTTAGACTGCTTATGAGTTCCAGATCAAAATTATGTTTAATTTTTTTTCCTATTATTCAGCAGACATCTCTAGTGAGCTGAAGGTGGATCAGGCTGCAGCCTTGCCTACGCCGCATCAGTTTGCTTACTCTGAATGCTTCAAAGAAAAGCTGGCTGCTAAAAAAGCTGATCACTCGTACCGAGTGTTCCGTAAGGTGGCTCGCATGGCTAACAGCTTTCCGCATGCTAAGGAGCACACGGGTCATGAAAAGCGCGTCAATGTCTGGTGCTCCAATGACTATCTTGGTGAGAATTTCTGCTCTCTATTGTCTGACTGTTGCTATATATTCAACTTCTGCTAAGGCACTAAGCTCAGTCTATTCAAGGCACTAAGATCGATCTACTCCAGGCACTAAGCTCAATTTATTCAAGGCACTAAGCTGAATCTATTCTTTGAATCGTGTTTCATCTGCTATCTGTTGTGTGATCTGTTAGGAATCTATTGCCTTTTTTTTGAAATGATTCAATAATGGAAGGAAAAAGTTTCAGTTTCGTGGCAATAGTTCCACCACTTATCTGCGGTGGAGTGATCATTAATTCTGTAGTAGGAATACAGATTTCTGACCGTCAATCTGACGCCGAACAATGAGTTAAAACTTGATTCATAGTGACGGAACACTAAATAAAACAATTACAGGAAATTCAGTGACTTTTCAGTTTATTCTCAATCAATTTTCAGTTTTTTAGGTATTTATTTATGATGACAGGCATGTCGCGCGACCCTCGCGTGATGGAAGGAGCCAAGAAAGCAATCGATCATTTCGGGACAGGGGCTGGCGGCACCCGCAACATCTCGGGCAACACCATCCTGCACGAGGCGCTCGAGAAGAAACTCGCCGAGGTGCACCAGAAGGAGCGAGCCCTCGTCTTCACCTCCTGCTTTGTTGCTAATGACACGACGCTCTTCACTCTGTCTCGTCAACTGCCTGGTTTGTCCTGATTCTCCATTTGATTTCCTGCTATTTTTTCTTTACTTATATCGATTGAAATATCGTCTAATGAACTTTTCTTGAGCACAATCTGGTGAAATCGTTATTATTTATTTATGTATCAATTTTGGTTAACTATAGATGCGTGTTTCACGTAACCTGGTGTATATATTCTTAAAGTTAAGAATTCATTTTAGATTATTCTTTTCCAAATGCTCCCATATCACTGCTGATTACACTTCACGGCTATGGCATTTACAAATAAATCTTAATATTCTAGCACTTTCAATCATTCAATTCATCTATTTTTTTTGGTCGATTTCGACTAATGTTATTGCTAGATCTTATTGATTTCTTTCGTAGGCTGCCACATATTTTCTGATGCGGGTAACCACGCCTCGATGATACAAGGCATCCGTAACTCCGGATGTCCCAAGCACGTGTTCCGCCACAACGACCCCGAGCACCTGGAGGAACTGCTGCAAAAGGTGCCGCGTCACGTGCCCAAAATTGTCGCATTCGAAACTGTGCATTCCATGACGGGTGCAGTGTGTCCTTTACAGGACATGTGTGAGGTAATTACGACTAATAAGCTCTTATACAGATGAGTTGTTATTGTTAAAGCTCCTCCATGCATTATTTCCGCCTCTTGTTGTATCTTCTTAAGATTTTGCTAACTCCTTTTTGGAGGAGAGGTTACATTCAATTTTATGCGTGTATAATTAGGATTTTTGATTATTGAAGGAAATATGTGCATTGTTGAAACTATTCGTTTACATATTATAATTAGTCTCTTACGGTTTACAATTGACCAAGTATAATTCAGTGAATGGTGTATAAATTATTAGTTTATTTGCCGTATAACGCAGGAACTTGTCCGTTTTTACCACTAGGTGTCGCATCGTTACGGGGCGATGACCTTCGTTGACGAGGTGCACGCTGTGGGGCTCTACGGTCGCCGCGGGGGTGGAATAGGCGATCGTGACGGCCTCTCTCATGAGATTGACATCGTCTCGGGGACTCTGGGTAGGTGGTGCATGGAGCCGTCTCTTTTGCTTGAGCTAATTTTAAGAGACTAAAGAGTGTAGTCTTTTTATTTTAGCTTTAAAATTTAACCTAAATTTATATAATATACATTTTACAATAGACTTCATGACAAAACCACTTACTATTTATCAAGGTGCGTACAGAATCATACATACAATAATTTTTAACTTGCAGGGAAGGCGTTTGGTAACTTAGGCGGGTACATCGCTGGCAGCGAAGAGGTGGTGGACATGGTGCGTAGCTACGGCGCGGGTTTCATCTTCACCACTTCCTTGCCGCCCTCGGTCCTGGGTGGCGCTCTAGCCGCCATTGAGGTAATTCTTCAATGTTTTTTACTTGAAATCCCTTTTGTGACTTACAGTAATTTAGATTCACGCAGTAGAGAAGAGTGAATTCACTGGTGAAAATGTCGCATCATGATGTTTTACTTTTCTGTCATTTGGCGATTGTTGATGGAGGGTCAGGCTATACATTTTCCAAGTAAGTCAATGCAACCATGCGTCTCACACAAAGGATGTGTGGGTTCAGTATTGGTAATTAGACCTATGTTTGCGATTATCTTAATTACTTTAATTCTTGGTCTGCACTTTTCGTGTTGCTTCATTGTTCAAAAGAATTCCTAAAGTGATGTGGCTGAGTATATGCCCGTTGGAACTATTCAAGCTACGATTTATGATAGAAGACGATTCCACCATCTGACCCAAGATGGGTCGCAGACAAGGACTCGGAAAAGCCATCCAGTACCACCAGCCATCATTCGGACTTTATTGTGTCGTCCTGTTTTCATACCTATTAAATTTTTGTACAGATCCTGAGCAGCGAAGAAGGTGTGAAACTGCGCAGCCAACATCAAGCGGCAGTGCGGCTGCTCAGGCAGTCTCTTACTGATGCTGGTCTGCCTGTGGTGCACTGCCCATCGCACATCATCCCCGTACACGTAAGATGCCCCGAACATGTGCATGCGTTGGATGAAGAGTTGCAGTTTCCTTCACGTTCGTTTAATGTGTTTATCACGATAATTCCTGTCTAAACGGTAACTCATGTGACCACAAATGAACATGCATCATATCTCTGCTCATGAATGTATTTTTTCGGTCTTTTTGCTTGATTAATTTTTTTTCAATTCAGATAATCGTACGCCTGCAGACACTTCACTCATTGCTTGAATATTCCAGGTTGGCAACCCAGCGCACGCAACATTAGTGAGCGACGTGCTGTTGTCTGAATATCATCACTATGTGCAAGCCATCAACTACCCGACCGTGGCGCGCGGAGAGGAAAAGCTGCGTCTTGCTGCTACTCCCTACCACACCCCGGAGATGATCAACATGCTCGTCAAGGATCTTGTTACCGTGTGGCAAGACGTCGGTCTTCCTCTTGACCACAAATGTGCTGAGAGCAAAGTAAGTTCTTCCCACAGACGTAATACCCAACGAAATTTTTCAAAAATTGTAAACGAATTTTTGGTGTTAACTTATTCTGAAGTGTGTTTCTAGACGCTACTTTTGGTGTGAAATGTACACAGTATTACACATCAGCAGTTTTCGATACCTCAATATTTTGTTAGATGTACAAACATGTTCTGAATCAAGTTTGAAAATGATAAGATAACGTGAGTTGTGAAATAATTCAATCGTATTAACAGGAATGCACTTTCTGCAAGAAGCCCTTGAACTTCACGGTGTACGAGGACCGTGCTAACGCCCTGCCTCGTTCGGCCTGCGACAAGCCGTACTGCCCTCGCCTCAGCGCCGCTGCTGCATAATCTCTCGAGTTTTCCAGTTGAGCCTGCAGGAGGCCTCACGTAGCGGCATCGTCGGTCGGGGTTTTGAGTCGCTGCCTGAAGCCTTTGTGGTAGTCAACTTAAATTTGCTTTGTTTGAAATCAATGTGCGTATAAAAGCTTTTGCTTAGATGTCGATGTCCTTCACGGATGCTGTCGAATTAAATTCACTGATACAGTTCATACGCCAGTTCAATTAATTATTTGCTTGGAAGACGTTATTTATGCCGGAGTTTTAAATTGGCCGATGTTTGCTTGCGTTAATGTCTAATTATTAGTGTGAATACACTGCCGTGCGCAGTTTACAGAAATTTTAGTATACATGTAAAGGGATTTGCTGCTGTGGAATTCGTAACGAAATTTGCAGTTTCTGATGATTTACAATGGAAAAGTAGCAATTTGGTAAAGTGAACCTCGTAAAGATTAACATGAACAATTAGGTAAAGTTGTAATATCAAAATGAAAATTCTGGCACCAAAATACCAAACAAAATATAGTAATCACTATTTTAATTGCTGAAGGTTCCAATAAGTGGTGGCTGCTCCGATTTGTATTCGTTCTGGGCTTCTAAACATTTTTAATAGCCTTTATTTTGAGAAGGATTTGACGCCACAGGCACAAATCTTCATTCCAACTATTATCCATCCAGATTATATTTATTTTAATAAATGTCCATCGAAAAATACACCTAAGGTTTAAATGAGATTATAATATAGATGTTATAAATTATAACAAGAGTCTAACTGTTGCATCAATTCTATTGTACGATTGTTCATTAAAAGAGCTGCTTCGAATGGTCTTGTCACTCGAAATGTTGCTTCTGATATTTTGGTCGGTAAATGACGAGACCGGACTGACTTAAAATAAGTTTATTTTGTATTCCTTCGTTACGAGCACAAGTGTCAACATAGGGCTGTCAAGATACACTTCGTACACAACTGAGCATGTGTAGGCTGGATGAAGAGATAACTTGTTCTTGACATTAAAATGGCTATTCCGCCGAAAAAGTTTCCTTAGATTATTTGTCATCGCGCTAAATCGCTTTGTTTGAAGCCTTTAAGGTTTCAAACTGTAATGAAAACATATTCGAAAACAGTTACAGACGCAAATTTCAATAGTCTTGTAAAAATAATAGAAATCACATTCAAAGAGACATTGATAATTTTTACGAAAATTTGAATTTAAAATGTCCATAATAATGCAGCATCCTGATTAATAAAACAAAATAAGCCCAGTAAACTTTGCAAGATGCAAGAATTAATTCAGACCAGCCGGACTCACAACAAGAAGTCCGGTGAAGAAGTCATCCCAAAAGAATGCCTTTATTCAAAAGGCGCAGACATTGCCTTTGCCTGTGCGCGGACCCGTTTTTCATACTCCAGGCGATTTTGGCTGAAATTTACAAGGCGTAAATTTATTACGATATTAAATCTGTGTGTCAAGTTATCCTCAACTAACGAGATATATTCAAGAAACTCAAGATTAAATCTTTCATAAGCTAAGAAGTTAATAATGTATCGTGCTTTACCACATCCTACCAATTTGGTGCACAAAACTAAATTGGCAGGAAACTTGCACAAAATTTTAATTCCTTTGACGATTAATTTTATTTTGAATGATCTTTATATATTTCTTCATAGTACAGGGTTATTCTAAATGTTGGACCAAATTTAGTAAATTCGTATTTTAATTTATTCATGTATAAATTTAAAATGAATAATTTATACACCTATGGAAAAGATTTAATGTTTTTTTTACATATTTATAAATGTTCAATACGCCACCACATTGGCATCTTGATTTCTGAAACTTTTTGAATCAGTCACTTGCTTAGCGTTGGGTAGGACGCATAGGAAATGAAGATATGGCTTTACACTTCTGGCCACCGAGATCACCTGATCTCTCCCCATGTGACTATTTCTTGTGTGGTTACGTCAAGGAAGCTGTTTACGTCCCGCCTCTACCAGCAACTCTGTTTACGTCCCGCCTCTACCAGCAACTCTGTTTACGTCCCGCCTCTCCCAGCAACTCTGTTTACGTCCCGCCTCTACCAGCAAACAACTCTGTTTACATCCCGCCTCTACCAGCAACTCTGTTCACATCCCGCCTCTACCAGCAATTCTGTTTTTGTCCCGCCTCTACCAGCAATTCTGTTCATGTCCCGCCTCTACCAGCAACTCTGTTTACGTCCCTCCTCTACCAGCAACTTTGTTTAAGTCCCGCCTCTACCAGCAACTTTGTTTGCGTCCCGCCTCTACCAGCAACTCTGTTTACGTCCCGCCTCTACCAGCAACTCTGGTTGATCTGTAGAACCGTATCACAGCTACGATGCACTCGGTAAAGGAAGATATGCTTTCTCGTGTGTGGAGTGATTTTGGCTACCGTTTGGACGTTTGCCTTGCAGCACAAGTGAACATTTACACATTTGAACATGAACAATTGAAATGAACACATTTGAAAACGAACAATTGAACATTTATATATATGTAAAAAATGGAATCTTTCCAATTTGTCTAGCATTAAAATTATTTCATCTCAACCATGCATTCGGATTCACACTTCTGAAATAAGCCTAATAACTATTAATGGCTGAAAAATACATTTCTTCAATTAATTTATCCTATTAAGCAGGTTTCCTCAACCTTTTTTATTAAAATCACTTGAGACAAGACACGCTTTGGAGTCGTGCTTATCGAAAATAGTTAGGAAGTCTTGACTCCGTCAGCCAATCACTGAAGGCTTTTCTAGCTTAACCAACCAATAAAAAAAAAGAAATTAGTGTACGTTAGCGAGTTTTGATAATACTTGCCCTACTCAGCATTGAGCAAGGCTCATCTTCAGAGCAACAAGATAATAATCTAATGCGTTTCTTTCCAAAAATGGCCTCGTCTACCATCAAACAAAATGTCGAAGGCGAGAGTTTCCTGTGTGAGAATAACAAACAGCCAAGACCTTCACAGGCGCATACTTACCAATAAATGGTGTAAGCCTCGGCCTGCGCAGGATCTTTGATGTTGGGATCGTTGAGGAGATCTTGTATGCCGAGCAGAATTTGTTTGATGGTGATTGCCGGCCTCCAATCTTTCTCGTCATCCAGTAGTGACAAACACACAGTACCTAAACAGTCAAAGAAACGTGTCTGAAGATTATACACGAATTTTTACTCAGGTTTACTATGTACATATTTTGACAGGAGTGCCGATACTTCATACACCAATTTCATACCAGTAAAATTATAAATTTTTGGCCTAATTCAAGTTGGAAGTTAACGATTGAAGCATTTGAATTAGAAGAGTTCCATTGAAAAGTGTAAACTTGAAATTACACAATGAAGAAACACAGAAATAAACTCACCTGATGGATAAACATTTGGGTGGAAAAGTGGAGGCTCAAATTTACATTTTGGAGGAGTTGATGGGTAGTCATCTTTAAAAATCATCCTCAGTCTGTAAAGGCCTCCATCCCAAGGTGTCTGCAAATTGTACTATTTATCAACACTTAAATCGTACACAATACATAATCTAAACAATCTAATCATTTAAAAAATTAGTAACTGTTATTACCTTAGCTGACCTCATCTTAGGCCTCATTCATTGTTAAATTGGAAGCAGAACTCTTCAACTTCTACCAACATCAAAGTAGAGCTATAAATTAGACACTCTTCTGGTATGTACTTGAAATAATGTGCATCATTCCTTTCCAAAGCATAAACATTGCTGAACTCACCCCTTTCTTGCCAGGAATGGCACACTCCCAATTCATCAAGTTCAGAGTTCCATCTGGGTTCTTTGTTGGTCGTGCAATGAAGCCCTAAAAATAAAGACTCCACTTAATTTAAATGTAAAGAGCAAATGACTAATGTTTCACAGTACACAAAATAATTCCACGTTCATGCTTTGATCGACATCATTTTACTCAGAGCCTTAGCTGCTGAAATAAATTTTTTATAAATCCAATGTCTGTCTAACTAGTGCTGCTCAATTCATAATATTTTATTTGGAATTCAAGTATTGGGGAATGAAACTTGAGGAGTATGATTAGAAAAAAAGCTTTAGAAATAACCCAAACTACTACATTTCAATTGAAAAAAAAATTAGACACATTCCTGCACATTTTCATACTGAATCGACTGCCATTTATAAGTAGTGCCATGGGTCCTGGCTAAACACATTTACTAAGAACAAATTTACATATAAAGCAGCCTTTAGTACAAATATGAACCATGAAGGATTGAATTTCACGATTAATATTTTTTGAAACATCATAATGAAATACTTTTGGAGGACAAATGTAGTCAATGTGTTAAATGTATCTAGGCATGAAGTCCAAGCTTACAAATGGGTGATCCTTCCTCCATCCTTTTCTTTCTTCTGCCAGGCGAGCAATAGCAATACCAGACATTGCTTTGTCTCAACAATTACTTGATGAATCTGAAAAATGAGCATTTAAATATTATCTTACAAAATGCATATTCTTCCCTTCCACATGGACTTGGGTAGCAATTACTATAATATAAAATGAGAGCAATTAGATTTTCAGAAACCCGTGCACATTACTTAACTCTTACTAAATTCAACATACTTTGCAGAAAGTGTCTTTCTACAAAGATGCATCACAGATTTTGCTTCAAAGACAATTTTGACTTAGATTTTCCTTTGATCCCCCTCATACATACACGAAGATGAAGTAGAAATTTCTTAAAGCTCATACCAATGCATGAAGTTTAATCTGGTTTTGACACAACCTAAAGATTCATTAACATGCCACAACATGAATTGAGTTATAAATTAAGTGAATCAAGTCTGCAAAGCTCATAAGCTAACAGCACATTATCTTCCCCATGGCACACAATAGTGGAATATTTGATTTTTTTCCTTTCTATCGGCATACATTGAAAATGAATTCAACATGCACTCTCCTTTCAAGTTCCTTAAGATAACTTATAAAATGCAAACAAATAATTTTCATTAATTGTATGGAGACTTAGGCTACCTACTCAAGAAATTTGTTTTTGAAGATATTGGTAGTTCATAGTTAGTTGAACCAACATACAGTCATCATTTTGCCTTTATTTATGATATCAAGTTCTATTCTGGCTAAAACAGTAAGATAAAATGGAAATACATTAATAAAATTTAGTGGTTTTTAATTTTTATATGCCTAATTTTTTATTCTTCAAACAATAATACATTTCATGAAAAATATTTCTCCATGATCTAGAATTCTTAACAATAAGGCCAGCATTTGTGTTCTGTACAGAAACAGGAAAATTAGACAGAAACAGAGGGCAATTTCAGTTGAATTCAAGTTAGTACACAATGTTAGAAAATAAAAAATTAATTACTACATGTTGTGTAAGTAATTACTTGTTGGAACACTATTAGTTAGGAGATAAGATAATAGCCATTTTGCATTGTATCAGCCAAGAAATACTAAGCAACTTTCTCTGATAATAATAAATCTTATGTGCCTATGGAACTCCAATCCATTCAAGACAGAAGCAAAACTATTAGACTCCGGTGTCTTTCAAATATTTTCTCAAATGAGCCAGTAAACGGAGATGAGAAGATAAACTTCACAGGAAAAAAATAAGACAAAAAAACTTATTGGTACAAAGCTCCATGTCTTGACCTAAAGCATGAGTCCAGTTTCCACAGATAACAGAATCACTAGCATTTCTAAGCAAGTCCAAGGTTATTCATCTAGTCTGCATTCTTCAACAAGCAGGGTTGGCAATGATTAAATCAAAATGATTAAATCATGTGATTAAATCACTTGATTTTTTTATAAAAAATCATGATTTTTTTTATTTTTTCAATTTATTTGATTTTTTTGATTTTTTCATATCTATAAAAATATTGAGTCTTTAATTTAATTCTTTAATGCAATACAAAATATTTAATTCTCTCAGTCTTTAATTTATATTGAGGTGTTGTTATTCATGGTTTAGTATAAATGTACTGTGAATGACCAATTGGTATATAAACTTGTTGCCTTTAGTGTGTATTAGGTTCCAATAAATGGAATGTTTTTGGTAGAGGCATCAAGAGTGCAATACATTGTACGTAGCTAGCAGCTTAGCTAATTCTTATAAGGCTATAAGTAGTCTAACTATTTGACTATTTGTTATATATTGATTACAATATACAATTTAAATGTGTTAGCTAGCTTATACAGGGTGGGGCATAACTGATTGAACAGTTTTGAGTCAAATAAAGAAGTAATGGAGGTACATAAAGAAGAAAGTTTATTTTCCTCAAGATTAGTATAACATACCATTTAAAATACTTATGTTTTGAAAACAATATCAGGAAATATATATAAAATAATTAAATGCAGTGAATGGATATAAAATATTTGAATTGTGCACATGTTTATTTCAAACAATGTTAGCTTTTCTCATAACTTAAGTCTCGTTTCAAGTCCTATGAGGTTTGTTTGGTTATCGTTCAGTTTATGTTTAGTAGGTATTGGTTTATTGGTCTGAATTAAATGGGAACAGTGCAGTCAGTCACTCAGTCACTACTAGTCGGTGTGTATAGAAGGTAGAGTCTGGTAGATTTATAGGACATAAAACTAGTAGATCTATTGATAGTGCTGTGCACTGTGCAATCAGCTACCTATCTGTTATGTGACTCTTCAATGTTTAGAAGATCTGCATTCCTGAAGTATTTTTGTATATTGAAGCCAGTTAAATGGTCAATATTTAGCTCATTACCTTGCTCCATACAAATTTTACAAAGCTAATGAATAGACTTATCAGTAATTGTTTACCCAAAAATCCCTAAGTGGTAAACACCACCTTGGCCTGTTGGCCATTATTGAAGGCAAATAAGTGCCCTTTTTAGACATCCATTATGATCCATATACTGTTATTGTTAGTAGGCTAATTGCAACATAAAAAATAACACCTCAAAAAAGACAAAAAGCTGAAAAAATCAAAAAAATCAAATAAATCAAAAAAATCATGAAAAAATAAAAAAAATCATTGATTTGATTTTTTTGATTTTTAGAAAAAAAAATAAAAAAAATCGCCAACCCTGTCAACAAGTAAGGATCCATGCAAAATACAAGTTAAATCCATTGCTCCTAATATACTTTATTGCTCCTCTCAAATTTCACCTGGTCACAGGGCCTGATTTGATATTTGCTCTTCAAACAGATATTAAAAGGCTCCAAAGATACTTATTATAGTATGATTTTAAATGTGAATGTACCACTAAAAATTTTCACATCAGTACCGTGCTCAGTGAAATCAAAAGGCCAAATAATGTCCTAGACCTTTCCATAATTATGGTCATGTCAAAAGGCTTTTATTGAGCAAACCCTCATCTTTCTGAGGGATGCTCTTGCCAAGATTTAGAAGCTCCTACTTTCTACTGAAATATCATGGCCCCAAAATCTCATCATCGTGCTGAATTTATAGGCTCATGACTCTTTTGTCATGTCTCTTCATATAAAATATTTCAATCCAGCTCAACCTGAATTGTCTGACAAAATTATCCCAAATTTATTAGGTACCGGTATCAAAAACAATAGCTTCAAAAAATATCATGGCCCCAAAATCTCATCATTGTGCTGAATTTATAGGCTCATGACTCTTTTGTCATGTCTCTTCATATAAAATATATCAATCCAGCTCAACCTGAATTGTCTGACAAAATTATCCCAAATTTATTATCAAAAACAATAGTTTCAGGGATTGATTATTGAAAATGCAGGAAAAAATGTAACCTTTTCCTAATTTTTACAAAAATCAACTGATCAAAAGCCAGAGGAACAAGCTCATTTTGTTGACAAACATTGACATTTTTGTATCCTTCACAGATGACTTCTGCTTAATTTTCTAGTTTGAAATCTAACCAGATTACTCAATTGATCCAAAATTATTGGCTTTTTGAAAAAAAATAACTTTGGCTAAATTTTTTTGTAAATATGTATTAAATTAAGCTGGAGTCACCAGCTCCAGGACATAGTGGAACACTATTACACTAGTAGGAAAACATCTACTCTCTGAAATGCGACTGGATTTTTTGAGTCATGGTTTTATGGATTTGCAAATCGTGATTGCATTTCTTTGAGCCATGAATAACAGCAATTCCATATCCTGGCCATGAAGAGTCATTTATGAGCTGCAAACTAAAAGTCCTGTGCACAGTGCACGTATTATCCCAAATGGTGGCATTCTAAATGCCTTCTAAATGACCAATTACCTATGTAATTTAGGGGCACAATGGCCAAAATAGGAGCGCATGACCTTTTGATCTCACAAGCCATTACTGCATTAGACCCAGGGTGCAGAGAGTGGGTGAATATTGAAAGATCTTTAGCAACATATCAGCAGCAAAATTTCTGTCTTCAGATGATCTTGCCAACACATCTGGATTGAAATTATTGTAAATCTGAAAAACTGCAAGCGCACACAGTAAGGTTACCAGTACATCGAATGGATCACAATGCAGTGAACTTGTGAAGCTTGTCTGGAAATCAGTTGCAATGAGTGTAAGTATTGCAGTGCATGGAGAGTGAGGGATATACTATCAAAGTTGCTTGCAGCATTTTCTTATTAAAAATTACCCAGCAATGCATCTTGAAAAAGACTGGCGATACTTTGGGCTCAAAATCCATATGTTGGCAATGCTGCATTAGACTTGTAAAACAAAACTGTTGTGATGTATCTGTGGACACTTACAGTTTTTGTTTCAGTTTCTGGCAGTGAAAACAATCTGGAACAATACAATATCAGTGATATAAGTTTAAGTACTTTTTAAAAATCATCATTTCTTCATAGTCATTGAAAATGTTATATTGACCATTTATTTGGCTTTACAATTGTTAAAAAGACCAAATATTGGTCACTTACTCTTCCAAGTTGTTGCAAATCAGATAACTCTGGCCAGTGCATCCACACCATAAAACTTGGCTATCAATCATAAATCTCAATGATAAATCCATCTTGAACAGGGCTGGAAAAGTCCATTTTTTTCTGAAATCTCACATCTCTAATGTCATAAATTTTTGTTTGATTGAAAAAATTGCGGTTTGCACTTGGCAAACATGTTTCATAAAATTTCCAACTGCAATCTGCAGCATATATACTTCAATTATCCTGCCTCCAGCCAAAATAATATGCAGAACTAGCAGAAGGTAATAACAAGTCAACTCAATATGTTTCCTTCTTGATAGACAGCATATTTGCGGTCAAATCAGAGTGGTGTGGTCAGACTGCATTTTCACTTCTTCAGTCGCTGCTTAAGTGAAGACTAATGCTAGTGACTTTTTAGGGTAAAATTAGAGATGTGGGGTAACTTGTGCATGGGACTATGCAAATAACAAGTTTGCGGTTTGAAGAAATGGAATCACAGCTGGCAAACCCAGGAAGCCACGGCTCAAAAAATCCAGTTGCGGCTAGCCAAGTAGATATATTCCATGCCTCAGATGATGATGCCTGATCTCTAAGAAGAACTTAAGGGGGAGGTATCCCCTCCGGAAAAACTTTTTTGTTTACAGTCACATCTTTCTGAAACTTCACATATATATGTAAAACTGCAAAAGAATCACATTTTGTTCATGTAATTTTGTCGAAAAAATGCATAGAAAATGTGAAATTCATAGAAAACGGCCAATAAAGGGGTTCTACAGAAAAGCCTACTCCTCCCAGAGTTTTAAAGCTATAGCGATGAAACATATACCATTCGATTTGTAAAGACCATACCAATTGAGTAATGAAGCCCGATTTTTTATTTATGCCTACATTTTTTTTTACACGCATTTAAATTTTTTTTTGTCTTCAAATTTCCCCCCCTTCCCCCCATTTTGAATCCAAACTATGCACAAATCTAAAAAAAGGGCTTCATTACTCGATAGGTATGGTCTTTATAAATCAAATGGTATATGTCTCATCGCTGTAGCTTCAAAACTCTAGGAGGAGTAGGCTTTTCCATGACAAAAAGTTAAACTTTTCAGGACAGCACAACAAAGTACCGCGTGCCTTGAAATAGTCACTCAATGTAGCATAGATACCAAACTACAGGCTTCTGTAACTTCCTTCCACTCAAGGATGCTAGCAGCGACTTGCAGTACACCTCTCCGTACGAAGCGAGGAGGGTGACTGAGCCTTGATGCCAGATACAACCATATGTGTAGTGTTGGTGAGTGAATTACCTCCTATCTAATTAGTGAAGGAACTTTCAACTCCACCCCCCACCCCCCTTTAAAGAGCAGCCAAGTAGGTTATGTATAAATTCAGGTACAGGGATCGCAGTGGTATCGTTGGAAAGCTCAGAATGTCAGCTTTAAGATGAGACTAAACGAGTAACTAAAGTGCAACTCAATCAGACACCATATTTAAAGTGCTCAGCAGCTAATTACCTTGTATCTAATTAGTGAAGGAGCTCCCCCACCCACCCCCCTTTAAAGAGCCGTGATGTACGTATAAATTCATGTACATGGATCGCAGTGGTATCATTGGATAGGGCAGAATGTCAGCTTTAAGATGTTACTAAATACCAGATAAGCCAAAAATCCAAAAATTTAGGGATACCTCCCCCTTAAGAAGGCAAATGTCATAATTGGCATTTGGCATTGGCAAAAACCAAAAAATTCCAAAATTCCATTTATTACATCCATAAAAATTACATATGCTCCAGTCCAAAGAAGGAAAATTCCAGTGAAAGATGAACTAACTCTTAATAGTTAGCATTAGCAAAATAGCTAGTGCAAAAGTTGAAGCTGCAAGATTCCAATAGCCTATGAACTATCAAGTAGGAAATTTTCACACTTGCTGTCTGTTGCTAGTCAGGCATGGAATATATCCACTTGGCAAGCCATGACAGAATTTTTCAAGCCGTGGTTTTATGGATTTGCGAGCCGTGATTCCATTTCTTTGAGCCGTGATTCCATTTCACTGAGCCATGAATTCCATATCTTAGCCATGAAAAGCCATTTATGAGGCGCAAACTTATTTACAAAGTCCATGCACATGTTACCCCAAATATCTAATTTTACCCTAAAACAGTCAAATGGCAACAATAAAAATTGTCTTTACTGTAAGTTGAGCACATGAATGCAGTCTGACCGCTTTGACATGACCGCAACTATGAGCAATCTTCAACAAAACTTTTAGTTGATTTGTTTACATTACGATGTTCATGTTTTTCTGCAGGATATTTTGGCAGGAACGGTAAAACAATGTGGATTGCGTAAGTTGAAAATTTTATGAAATGACATGTTTGCAAAGTGCAAACTGAAATTTTTCAATCAAACAAAAATTTATGACATTTGAGCCACGAGATTTCCTACCTACTGAAATTATATATTAGAGCCGTGATATTTCAGACAAAAATAGGACTTTTCCAGCCCTGTATGCTAGTTATGTTAAGTATTAGTATGTATGTCTGAGAAATTCTGATTCACTAAATATTTGATTCACAATAAGCTATATATGTGCCACACTCAGAATGATGTATGTTTTCGGTGAATTTTCCCGCATATTTTCACTTTTTTTAAGCTATTGCTGTGCACAGTTGGCGCAATGTAATGAAAATCGATTCTCTTCGCGCAATCCCGGCCATCAATTCTACGTCGCGCTGCCGTGCACGAGCAGTTTGTGGAGGAACAGACGTAATACTGAGTACAGTATGCCTTTAATTATCTTTCAATAATATATGATTTTTCTCGATACGGAAATTTGGTGAATAAGAAATCTAGAACTTTATTTTAGAAGAAATTTTTTCCAAAGTCATATGGCAACACTGAACACCGTCTGTTTACATTTCGTATGTATAATAGCCGCAGTTTACGATTACCGTCCACTATGCAGAGGGTGGATGCAGCGTCGGCAATATATGGATTTTCAAGCCCAAAGCGTCGCCAGCCATTTTAAAGATGCGTCGCCTGGTAATTTTTAATGAAAAGCCATTTACGCTGAGTAATGACGAACTATTTACAAGCCACGAACTTATTACAAGGTTGCATGCACGTGTTACCCCAAATAACTAATTTTACTCTAAAAACAGTCCGGTTGTACAGCAAGTGTCAACTGAATAAGTAATAAAGCAGTCTGACCGCTCTAATGCGACCAAAACTACGCAATCGAAAAAATGTTGTTTACATTTTTTGCGGGAACTCATCGCAACTGATTTCCGGACAAGCTTTGCTGCATCGTAATCCATCCAACGTACCGGAAACCTTACTTTTTTTCTAAATAGTCGGCTGAAGACTGAGAAATATATTAAATGCAAGAATTTCAATCTAAATGTGTCGGCAAGATCTTCTGAAGGCGAAAATTTTGCCGATAATGCGTCACCGTAGGTCTTTAAATCTTCGTTCACTCTCTGCACAGTGGAATTTACCGTACGTTCTGTATCCGACAAGGCGGACAAGCGGAAGAGTCAGAAGTAACCCGGACATGTCTTACAATTTATTATTGTCAGTTCGACTCGCGTAGTCAATATACTCGCGTATATTGTCAACTAAAATAGTAGAACTATTTTAGCTTTCTAAAGTACGGCGCACGGCGCATTTTTTTTACCAGCATAGTACGGCGCACGGCGCAGGTCGTTAAAATGACAAAATAAATTCCCGCCCACCTGGCACATCTTCCTGACCATGGTATATGTGATATTGTGAATTATGCAATAAATCAAGTTTCATTAGAATCTTTTATAAAATTTCCTAGAAATAAATCAAAACAATTGGTAGCTAATAGATAAACATTTTCTGAATTTGAGATCTGGCCCTACTTTGCTCATCAATGAGTCATCATGGATCAATTTATTGGATAGGCCTACATATTGCAGCAAAAACAAAGTACCTAGCCTACGCCTACCTACCTAATCCTAGCTAGCTATGAAATAAGTTGAGAACTAGACTACTAGAGTTACTAGACTACTAGTAAACAAACTTTCAGAAACTAGAATTTCTAGAAACCAGCATCATCATAGAAATGGCTGAAAAGAGCACAGTAAAGTTCAAGACGGTCGTGAAATGCACACTAACAAATTTTAAAATTTCTGGAAAATATGAAAACGCGTCTTGCCAGTGAGCTGAACGGCAAGCATCTGCGATAGTGCGATTCGACTTCGAGACGCCGACCCGCGGGAAAACTCAACTTCGTAGCGCATATTTAAGGGCAACTTTTCTGCCTTGATAATCAAACTATAAATTGAATACCAGCACGATAGAATTTATTAATAACAATTTACCGAGCTTCTAATGTATAGATAATTTCTAAACAATATGAAACAACATATTCTCGCGTAAAGTTACATTACCAATGTTAGCTGTGGGTCAGATTTTAAAGAAGGTTCAAAATCGATCCGTACACGATGAAGCATCATACGGAGATATTTCTAGGTTAAAAAGGTGAGCCTCGCGATTAAAATATTTTAACATGCACGTCCATCCTTTGTTGCCGGGCGATTTGGAATTCGTAATATAATACGAATTATAACACGCGAATTTTAGGGTTTTTATGAAAATTCAAATTAATCCTGAAAAATATAATTTGGCACCATACATTATATACATATCTCTTAAATCAAAATGCAATTAATGGATTAATAATTGAGATTATTTTAAGGCATCGATGAGAAAAACAATTTTTAGATGTAATCAGTATCTGACGAAAGCATTTTATTGGATGCATTATTTTACCAATTGACCATACTCAACATTAAATTCGGAACTCTCATTGCTATTTGTTACAGTAAGTAAATTGATTAAATAAGCGATAGGAGTGATCCGACTTACTCTCATTCAGAGAAATATATTTATAGCTGCTAGGAACGCCATAAAGAGAAAAGCGACTATCATAAACATCTAAGTATCAACAACTAGAAAATTTATCAAACATGCCAGGCAAACTGCGCACTCGGCCACCATCAGGCAGATTGCAAACGGCAATCGAGAGGTTGGTATTAAGCCTGCCGCTCCGTGAATCCAATTTAAAAATATAAGTGAAGCACTTATGTACCGAGATGCTGTGCAGAATTACTGTCCATAGTTAATATCCTCAACTGAGTCCGTGGATTTATTTCCGATCACAATCGTCGTGGGTAGCTTATTTTCAGATGTTGAGTTGTAATAATTGCAGATAGAAAGAGGCTGGTTATCCGAAATGCTTATGGCGCTGCCGTGCCTTTATTCATTCAGAGTCAATATCGGCAAGAAATTATATGCTGCAACGAGGGCAAAACTGCTAAGGACTGCACTCGAACTTATGAATAAAATAACTTTCAGATTTTGAGACTGCCAATGCCATTGACGGATAGAGTCACGACCGGTTTCTTGTTCGTCCATTTCGTCCATCGAATCAATTGCTTTTTGCAGGGAGCGAAAAGAGCCGGGTCATTTTTTCAGTCATCGTTGGTGAAAAAATCTGGAAAAGACCCTCACTGACTCCAATAATGGAGATATTAGCCGAACTCAAACCACGGTTCGCCGAACCCAATTGTATTATTGTACTGGTATCCTGTTTACACGGAAAAAGGCAAATTTCAGTAAATGCTTATGAGAAATAAATGCCATCATTTACGGAGAATTCAATAAAAATTTATCAATGCTAGTTTTTTAGGTCATATGCTACTTGTCTTAACACCAAGGCTCTATCATAAAAAATTGGTCTTAAAATTAATGACTTTTTGAACGCATTTTACTATGATTATAATTCATGCAATTTCGATTTGTTTTGCTCTTAAGTTTAGAGTGCGATTATTTGCCTCATCGTCATCTCTTTTTAATGTATGTTTATTAACTTCAGTTTATCTGAAAAACTGCCACAACGCTTAGCTTCTGTTTTACACAAAATTTTCTTATCTACGTTATCGCACAGATTAGTCACTGATAATTTTTTCGTTACTTCGCAATAATTTCTAATCTTGGTTGTGAGTGTGATGAGACGATAAGATAAAGCACAGTCTCTTACTACGATAGAAGCATTCCTGCATATACGTTGTGAAAAATAAAACAAACAAATTGAATTGTAAATATATTACTAAAAAAATAACATTCGTGCAAATATCACATCAAATAAGACATCTTTGATACATAATTTCATGTACTTGCTCATTGTCATATAGCTAACTGCTCACATATACCTAAATCTATAATTGATGCGAAGTTATTCCTACCTAAATTGTAAACTAATGAGGTAGTGTGATGGCAGGTTACTCTGTTTGCCAGTACACAGAAGCTCAATGGAGCTAAGAGCGCCGAAGTGATGGTCAGAATGAAAAGCTGTGCCGCAAAAGCTGTGCCGTACGATCGATCGTAGAACTCGGACGAGAAGCAGGCGTCAGTATACCAGCTGCTACCGCTGCCATTGACAGCAGAGTGTGTTGTCGCTGTCTGTCCTTACTTGATAACAACTTGAGCTCATTTCTTGTTCACCCTGCCCAGTAGATGCTACAAAAGTGTTGTGTTTCTCGGTTACAATCTAGCTAATACCGCCGGGAAAAATATAAATTAATCATCTGCAAGTTTCGTCCCGAATCTGTTCAAAAATTCTGAAGAATGATTGTTGGGGCAGGGCAAAATTAAAACCACACTTTTAAAGATAAGATAATGCATGATTTGTTGAAATGTGCAAATGAAGACGAGTTAAGATAAGACAACTTGATGAATTTTTTTACAATGCTGCAGTCACTAGTCTGCAAAGAAGCGAAGGGAACGCCCACGCCCCGCAAGTGCAATCTTAATGAATTTCTATGGAACATTACTGACACTTACGAGACAATTTTAGCTAACAATTTGTTTATTTAGCATTGCTAAGTATTTAAGCATGGCTTGTAAAGTCTTTATTTTCACTGAGGGGTTTTGTTCCAAAACAAACTTTTGAAACAAGGCCACGTGTTTTAAAAAATATGTTTCATCTCTAAATTGCTGTGGCTACACGTAAAATTATTTACTATGTGTATATACTTGATTTTGACATGTTTGTACAAGCCTTATAACTCTTAATTAAATGAGGATACATTAATAATCTCTGCATGTTTATAATTTAATTTCAATCAATTGTCCATAGTTCGTGAGACTTGATCGAGTAGAGAATAATTTTTGTTATCAGAACGTGTCCTCCAAGCAAATGATCCAATATTAACAGCGACGACGACATAAGAAGTTGGTTATTGATTATGTTCTCAATTGTAGCATCTTAGATTCATGCAATCAAAATCAATTCAAAGGAGTGTTTGCCATTTACAAAAATATTTAGGTCTTACTTTAAATATATTTGTTACATTAATTTGCCTAAGGAGCTTATAAAGGTAAATAGACTCGAAGAAACTTTATCAACTGCATTAAGATTTAGTAAATTTATTAAGCTTTATCTGTGCAATAAAAAGGTCCAACTGAGAAGCAAAAAGCACACCAGTGAAAATTAACCATTATCTAACTTGAAAGAGGTTCAGAAACACGCGGTAACCAAATCTGGGAGCTATAAGATGATCAAATGTGGGAGTGGGGAAACTCCACGGGTGAGATGGCCGCACTTCAATTAAGCTCAACCGACAAATTGAAACAGAGCATTTAACCCGGACCAACTTTATACCGATACATGGACGACGACAAAAACATAATAAATAAAGGCAGAGCAGATGGAAAATTCCTGAACCATGGAGTGGGCAGTGAAAAAAATCGTCTCAAAAGTTGTTAGTTTCGCCTTGAAGGGATGGCTTGAAGGTGTGGCTGAGGAGCAACTGCAGGCCGGCCTTGCTGAGGGACAAGTCACGCTCACGGACGTCGGCGTCAGCAGAGATGCGTTGGTGCGATTTGTGCTTTCAAAAGTTTGTAATTATTGACAAAAAAATATTAATTGAATTTAATTCTCGACTTAATTACTAAATTTATTATTCATTCTTTCTTGCGATGTCGGCGACTAGGGGCCTAGTTTGTTATTCATGTGTTTTTATTGATTGTATTTAGAGGAGGTTTCGATTGAAAATGGATATGATTATACGAGATAATACATAGAAGGTGAGTTGAATTGTAACTTCTAAAACAACCAAGCTAGATTAAAATAAATATTCTGTTCAACTGTGAGCACAACTATTTAAAAAGGTTAATATAAAATACATTTCGATCACTTGATTATGTGCAGGTTTTTTTGGACGCTTACTACGGCAGCAGCCTGCCAGTCGAGGTGTTGCGCGGCACAGTCGGCAAGCTTCATTTGTCTGTTCGCTATGACAGTCTCTTCACCAGCCCAGTGGTCCTGCATGTTTCAGTGAGTGCCATTCTTCTATAAAACTATATATTGTAACGTAAAAATTCGATAAGTGTACGTCAGTTACATACATAAAAAAAATTTGAGATCAATAGTGGCAGAGTTGCCCAGTGGTTAAAGTTCAGAGTACCAAGATTGGAGCAGAGAGGTGCGGGTTCGATCCCAGCTCTGTGCGCCAGTTTTTGGTCAGAATCGACAAGGAGGCCGGGTGGTTAAGCACAGCAAAATTGAAGCAGTGAGTTACGTTTTCGAGACCGCAACAAGCTGTGAATATTCAGTAATGTTAAGAATCGGTGAAAGGCCTACGGCCTAATAAAAGTTACAACCGCTATTATTATTATAATTTTTATTATTATTATTATCATTATAAATGATTTTCTGTTAACCAAGGACATGCACTTGGTCGTGGGCCCTGCCTCAGACCCCCCAAACGTCGAGAGGCTGAGAGTCATAGAGCGCTCGAGCAAGCGTGTCCAGCTCGACAAGATATTCCCTCCACCCCAGCACGAGACATCGTCATGGCTGTGTCAGACATCAATTCTTACAGTTGAAGTTGAATTCTTTAAATGTGTGATATACAATGAAATAATTTAGTTTTAGCAGTAGGAAATGGAAATCATTTTAGAGAGATAACTTTTTAATGAGCTCCTTAATAAAGTGGGATTTTGACCAATATGAACCGTGAGAGACATCGTACTTCGCAGTAGTCGAAAATGCTTAATAAAAAAAACTAATATTAGAATTTTGAACAGAAATGAATTTGTTATAATAAAAGATTTGTCGGTGTATCTAACAGCGTGGTCTTGGGTGGTGAATTTTCTCTTGGACAAGTTGCAGTTGTCCGTAAACGACGTGCACATTCGCTACGAAGATCGTACCAGCGCAGCACATCCGCTCACCATGGGCTTGTGTCTCAAGACTCTAGAAATCGCATCCACTAACAGGTCAGCTCTAGAAAACATTAGTATTTAGTTCTGAGACTAAAGTTTTACGCTAATGAGTGAATTGTGTCATTCATAAAATACGACAGATCCATTTACGCATAGGAAATGTAATACTTGCGTTTATTACCACTGGTAAGAAGAAAAAATTTTTTGTCTGCAATTTACAGTTTAATTTAGAATTAAGAAATTTCCACTACCTTACAAAAGTAACTATCATTTCTATCATGTGAATTTCTCTTTAAATCGTTATAATTGCCATGCAAACATTATCATTGAGCAAACAATGATCAGTATAATGCCCTCGGTGTTTTTCTATTCCAAATAAGTAGCAAATGGAAGAAATGTTCGACGGACACGACGTCTAGCAGCCTACACAAGATCATCGACTTCTCAGGCTTGTGTGTATACATCAACCCCAGGAGTGATCCTCTCAGGATGGTCACCCCTCACCTCGGGTCTCACCTCTGGAGGGATTACATGAACCTCGGCCTCAACAGCTACACTATCAACAGCGAGCCTTTCAAGTTCGGTAAGCATCATCATAGAATAGAAGTGTCGGCGTTGAAGAAATAGGCCCATGGCCTGTTGCCGATTCTTGAACTTTTCGTGACTTGATTCACAAGGGATCCGGCCTTTGGAACCCGATCTTTCCATAACTGACGAGTCATAAGCTAGGGATTACTAATAAAATGGCAAATACCCAACAATTACGGTAGATTAATAACTTTCTGAGAGTCTGAGGCAAGTGTAATGCGGTTCATTAATATGTACATATTAGCCTAATTAAAAAATTTGCTTTCATGCTGAGCGAGTTTTAATTTCACTTGGTCGTAGCCATTGTGCTGCACGAGTAAGTTCAATATTCGGATTGTTTTGAACACCTTTTCAAAAATTTCATTCGTTAACCTGAATTTATGTAAACTAATCTTAACATAAAACATAATATTTATATTTTATTTGGCAAACCTGCAGTTGTGGAACCTGTCCGCTGCAAAATAAAGTTGAAGCAACAGCGACCAGCAGAGCACGCAGAGTCCCGGGTGCCTGCCCTGTTGGTGGACTCGGTTTTCAAGAGCCCAATTTCGGTGGTGATCTCGAAGGAGCAGATAGCGGCTCTAGCCAACTTGACGCACTCTTTCTCTTGCGTCGCGCGCAGAAGGTGGTACGAGAAACAAAATCTGTTTAATGTGCGAAGTTGCTAACTTATACTAATTTGTTTGTTTACGGAGTATTAACATAGTTAGATGCATAGAATAGAATATTAAAAATGAAGATGCAGCGGGCGGTTCTAGCTAACTTGGTAAACTCGCTTGTGTCGCTCGCAGAAGGTGAGATGAGTGACATTCTGCTAGAAGTGACGAAGATGCTGACACTTCCTGATTTTTTTTATTACTAAGTAGTAATATAAAAAGATGCATAGACAATAAAATAAAATTTTCGAACAGAACGTGTGAAAAGTGCTAAAAAATTGAAATAATTATTTCGAGTGCTAAGGCAATTAGGTACATTGATAACATGAGGTCAAGCTGAATATTTTGTTCATCTTTCCCTGGGGCAGGCACTACTGGGAACACCGTCCATTGCTACCACTAAAGCGCCACGCAGTGGACTGGTGGCACTACGCCCTAGAATGTGTAGTGCTGTCTAGAGTACGACCCTACAGCTGGACCAGCATAAAGAAACACAGGCGAGGAACATATTAGTTGGGAGCCGTAGACTTCCGGCAAAAATATGTAAACTGTGACCGAATTTTGTTAGTCTCTGTGATATTGTGCACATTGATAGATAAAAAACGTTCATGTAATACATAATATCGTTATACATTTCAGAACCACGTACAAGAAATACGTGGAGTTGTACAAGCGTCACCTGACAGAGAAAGGGGTCACAACACAGCAGTTGGAGGAACTTGAAGACGAGCTTTGTATCATGAACATTGTAATCGCTCGATCTGAAGCAAAGATTCGGGTGTGTTGGCATAACCTTTATACTAACATTCAAGTTTTTCTAAGTGGGCCATAAGATACTCATGCGTTACATACTAATTTGGCTTGAAGGAAGGCGAGCCTGTGATCCGAGTTAATAGCTTGGCTCAGCCTATCTTTTTGTGCAGGTGGGAAGAGAGAAGCCCGAGCTGGTGAAGACTCAACGTGCTCAAGTTAGCTTCTTCAGCTGGCTATTTGAACGCACTCCGTCGCAAGGTGTTGTAATATCAAAATTTAGCTTCATGCACAATTTAATTAAATTTTCTCCACGTTACTCACTCAAAGAGCAGTTATGAGGGTACTCAGATCCTCTATGATTTAAGCCTGATAATTCTAAATCAGTTGTCAATCGTCAATGTTACCAGTTGTATACGCTGAAATTTAGATTGATGTATCAGATGAGTGCGACGTGGTGGGGACGAATGCTGACGAAGGTCTGCTACAAGAATTGACGCAGGAGGAGCAACAGACGCTCCACGACTCCATCAGAAAACTTCATGGAGCACCGCCAGCAGCTGCTGATGGAGAAGCGCTCATAGGTAAGTCTCACAAGTCATCAAAATAAGCAATTGGCTACTTCAAGCTTACCTGATTGAACTTTTTTCATTAAATTAATAATGATGTTCGATTTAATTTACGTTTCTGTTAAAGTATACGAACTCACGTACAATAAATTGTTGTTTTCAGAGAAAAAGATTTACGTAATAGCTCAGAACATGAGCGTGAGCTTGGTAGACGAGCAGCGCGAGGTAGCGCTTGCATCGCTCATGGGACTGGGCTTCAACTACGAGAGTCGTTCCGCCGTCGCGTATCAGAAACTTTCGTTTAAACTGGATTCGTTTTTAATCGAGGGATGTAGCTCTGACAACGACCTGGTATCCGTTGTTAAGCCCATCGAGGAGACCTACTCCAGAGGTAGGGTTTGCTTGCATTAATAATGAAATGAAAACCGTTTGATATAATTCAAGATAATACAATTTAAGATGGTTTAAGGTGGTTCTTTATATGACCTTATGGAAGGAATATTTTTCTTACATTTTCATGAAATAGTAAATATAATTTCAATTACTTAATAATCGCAACATTTGGTGTAGGCTACGGATTTGCCTTCTCATGTGACTACGAAACTAACCCGAAGCCGGGATCTGCAAATCGCAGCCTCACGACACGTTTGCTGCCATTGGAAATAATCTACAATGAGGTAACATTTTCTTGCGGAATTAATTTCTAAAATTAGGGTAATTCTGTGATCGAAAGTTCTAAATTGATTTTGGGGTATAATAAGGAGTATTTACTTAAATTGATTGAAAAGCTCAAATTTTTTCCCAAACTTCAGTGAATATCTAAAGGCTGTGAGTAATTTATGAAAAATGCTAACCATATAACTTGGTAGAAATACTCATAACCATGTTAAAAATACTCCTTACCATGTTAGAATTACTCATTACCATGCCGTGGTGAATACCAAAACTATTTTCACAGAGCGCATTTACTGCTATGCGAGGCTTCCTTGACGTGCCAGGCGTCACCACACGATCTGTACAGGAGGTCGCCCTCAGCTCTTCAGAGAAGATATTGTCTTCATCCAAGGCTTCTCTCATGTACGCGTTGTCTCGCAACACCACATACCATCTGGACATCGACATCAAGAGTCCATACCTCGTACTACCTGAACACGGATCATTGCAGCGAGGTGGTAACGTGCTCGTCGTTGACATGGGAGGACTGCAGGTCAACACTGAAACTGGCGGGTCCATTGATGCGGCAGACGACGCTACCATGTCAGAACTTGAAGAGAAACTCTACGACCGCATAAACATCACTGTTCCTCAACTTCAGATCATCTTTTCAGATTCTGGGGATGAGTGGCGAGCTCTCAGATCGTCCGATGATTCAGTTCTGCATCTACTGCCTCGAGTAAGAGTTGATGCCTTCCTAGCCAACAGCGTGCACCCAAGCTACAGAGAGCTTCCTCAACAGAAAATTGACTTCCGCGTCACTCCTGTGAAAATTAACATATCGGAAAAACGCATCCAGCAACTGAACGAGTTTTGGAAAAACTTTCCTCTTCCTGCAACGAAAGATCAAGTGGACTGCTGCGTCTATATGGAAAAACTACCGGAACTTGAAACTTGGATTGCATCTAAAGATATTTCCACGCTGTGCAGCATAAGACGCTTACTCTCCATCAAAAAGTCGAGTAAAAATGAAAAGGCTCCTCCACATGAAGATACTAGGCTCAGTTCAGCCCTACAACAGCTGTTGTACAAGAAATCTGTCGATGAAATATCGGAGACGAGTGCTGAACTTCAGCTCTATTTCCCGAGTTCGGAGAACAGCGACGATGATGTGGATGGTTCAGCCTCAAATAAACGAACTAATGAAATTCCAGGCTTTGATGAAAATGTTTCACCTCACAACAAAGTAAAGATCTTGGCCCGAATGCGCATAGAAGAAATAACAATTGGGATCTCAAGATCAAACTACGAGAATGATCGCCCTTATTTGATGCTAAAACTCAGTCACTCAGTGGTTGAAATCGTAACGCTGGATTTTGGCAGCGCTTTTCTTTTAAACCTTGGTGCAATTCACTTGGTGGATAAATTTCACAACGGTCCTGATGGAGAATATCTGGAGCTGATTTCTTCACCTACTAACCAGAGAGTGATAACCATAAACTTTCGATTCATTGATGCCAAATGCCCTGACTTTTCAAGTCATTTCCAAAGCACGGAGCGCAAGCTGATCTTGAACGTGGCTACCTTGAATTTTGTGTGGCACCGAGGTTCCATTATTACTCTAATCAATTTCCTGAAACACTCCTCCTCGAAGTTTCAAATGAATGTCGAAGTTCCGGAAGTAAAACTAGAGGACCCACTACCTACACATCTCTTGACAACTTCAAGCTGCCATCCTGTTCCACTCGGAGCGCTCAAATGGTCAGTAACTTCATATGTTTCCGTCATCAATCTTAAAATGTGCGACACTGACGTTGACGTCCTCGAAGCGAAAATTACTGGGCTGCTCACTAGATACAGCTTTAAAGCAAACGAAAAGAAAACTTTCCAAATATGCGTAGAGAACATAATTATCGATGACAGGTCAGAAATAACTCTGTACAATCGGATCCTTGAAGTTGAAGAGGACTTTGCATTCGACATCAAGTACGAAGAGCTGAGCCCCAAACTGACTGCTACTTACAACGTCAAGGAGGCAGAGGAATCGTCCAACAAGCCAGAAAGCTCTTTAGATTTCAAAGTAGGAAAACTTCAAATTGTATTCTTGCACAAGTTTCTAGCAGATATAATTAGATTCGTTGACCCTGTTCTTCCTAAAGAGAGACAGCAACCGAACTTGAACAAAAGTGCTATCAATTCAGAAAAGTCTCTAATCGAAAAGTTAATTAGCAAAAGAGTGCTGCATAGATGGGACATAAGGACATTATCTCTCATGATTCCTCAAAAATCTGACTCGCCAAGTTTACTTACAATCAACACAGGGTCAATGAGAGTGGAGAATATGTTTACTGCATTCAATTTCGAGAACATGCTCGTTGAGCTGGGCCCATTTCAAGTCAGTCGATCTGTGTTGAAACTATCTGAAGGGATTGAAATGCAGGAAGCGATTCTTGAACCAGCGAAATTCCGATGTGATATCAAGCGTTGCCGCGACTCACAGAGTAGAGGATTGCATCCTTGGGACTTTAAGGTCCAGTTGGGAACTATCCGTATCAACATCGGACAAAGGGATCTGAGCGTCATACAAGGAGTATTGTCCGAAAATAAGGAAGAGGGTCAGTTTGAAGCAGCTGACCTTCGGTCTCGAGCTGCAACGCCGACAATCACAGTCACTGACGAAACGGAAGAAAATGTTCGCAAACTTCACGCCTTCTTGACATCGGTAGATATCTACAAAAAATCTACAGGTAACATAACTTTAGACAGCTTGGTAGTTACCCTCTACACTGACATGGACGAACAGTGGAGCTCTCCTGTTCGAGATGCAGCGGCGGCATTGGCACGGTTGGATGTTGAAGAGGTAGACTTACGTGCTGATACATTCAGTAACAACAGTCTAAAAGCGAGACTTACGATACGTTCTTGTGATTTCTTCGACGTCAGGCCAGAAAGCTCAAATGTGGCCAAAAGAATCTTTGGTCAATCGAATGAATTCAGTTTAAATACTTGTGACGGCGTCTGCATAAGCAGTCCTCTTCTGTTGGACGCATCGCTCAGTAGAACTGCAAACGGAGACACGGCTATTGAAATGACTCTTGATAAAACTAGGCTTTGTTTGAGTGCCAATGTGTGTGCATCAATCCATAAGTACATGATGGGAGCCTTACCTCCAGCGGATACCAAGAAAGGTCTGGAAAATCCAGGCTTCACCGAAGATTTCTCTGTGACTGCCGAGACTCTTCGGCCTCACCAAAGACCATCAAGTTCTGACGGTAGCACCAGTGGTTACTTGTCTGCCAACAGCTCTACTAGTAGCGGCACCGTAACGACGTTCTCCGTTCTCGTAAAACCACTTCAAATTTTCATTTTTCCTGAACCTGAAAAACACTACAGTCCCGTATTTCTACTCTACTTGGGTATGAGTGTTGATTTTTCCCGTCATCCAGTCTATGAAAGCTGGAAAATCCAAACTCAGGACGCATCGTTTTCTAGCGTGATTTACTCTAGTAAGAAGCAAGCACCTTACAGAATTATCGAACCCTTTGAAGTAACTTTCACGGCCAACGCCAGATTTCCTGAAAATGAAGAAAAGTTCGATGTTCATGTATCCCCGATCACTGCACACATCAGTTCAACCACACTGAATATGGCAAAAAAGTGCATATCGGAGATGATGGATGCAGTAGATCCCCACGTTGTTTTTCCAGAACTTAAACTACCATCAGCAGACTTGGAGAACTTGTGGACTCCAAAGGGTCTTTATGCAAATTCGATCAATCTAGACTCTGATGAGATAGAAACTAAGAATAAATTCAGCTCGCTGTGTCATAAAGGAAGTTCACAGGTGAATTTCGAACCCACCAACATCGAAGTGTTCTTTGAAGACAACGATGTGCCTAAACCAGTTTTTTTATTAAAAAGCTCGTTAACGGGCCACGTCAAGGACTGGAGGATCACTGGGGAAAGTAAAACCGTTCTGCAAATCGAAATTCTTTGCTTCAATCCTGAATATTCTTGTTGGGAGCCTATGCTTGAACCTAATGACAGTAAGCCTTTAGAGATAGTTGTGGCGACAGAAAAATGTCTCGCTAAACCCATTGGCGTGATCAAATCTTTTGACAAAAATGACAAAGTGGACACTTGCGGACAGTCTTTGAGAAGCCAGCGTACGTCTTCTTTTGTACAGCAAAGTTCCGACTCTTCTAGTGACTCAGACGATCAGTGTGACTCTGAAATGGTGATCTTACGAGCACCGAGGCAACGCAAACAGAAAAACACGTCATCTTTCCGAGTTCACCATTACACGAGGGCCTTACCAGGTGAGAACGTACGTCGTAATACGCTAATGAGCCAATTTACTTCCACGCTTTACGCTAATCATAAAAATTCCCAAAAAGTGTGATCCATAAAATTCATTGGACCAAATTTCCCTGTATTAATGAGTGGCTAACCTGAGAAATAACTTTATTCACAATTGGGCAACGAGTTACAGTCGCGATTCCAAAGCATATTTCTAGAACGAAATTCTGCCTAACCGTCCTTCTAAACATCACTCTCTGCAATCGTGTTGATTCGTGTCTTGTGCATGCAACAGGCCAGGCGTCGGATTCAGATTCTGACGACGCTGTCGTCCACCAATTATCGAACGCCTTCACCCACCTCTTCTCGAGTGAGTCCGAGGGCCAAGACTCGAGCGACGACTGCTCATCTCCAGACCTCGACCCTCCTGGGGAAATTCAAACTGACGACGAAGCGCTTCAGGAAAATACAGCATGTACAGCACCCCGTGAACATGAGGCGGCCACCGGCGAAGATGATGACGAAGACGCTCTCTACAACTCTGAAGACGGCGCTATGGGTAAATAAACTGTTGCTGAATTCATGAATGCATCAAAAATTTATTTTCCGAAGAACTGGTCCTAATATTCATTTGATAGAATCGAGTGTTTCAGAAGCCCATTCAATTTTTCATTTGACTCCTTAGCTTTAACTTCATAAATATTACAGAGAAAATAGTATCTTCGAATCAAATAACCTTTTAGCGTTAAATCTTTGGTTAAAGCGGGTAAAAACTGTTGCTGAATTCATGGATGCATCAGGAATTCATTTTTCGAAAATCAGGCCGTAATATTCATCTGACAGAATCGAGTGTTTCAGAAGCCCATCCAATTTCATTTAACTCCTTCGCTTCAACTTCATAAATATTACCGAAAAAATAGTATCCTTGAATCAAATAACCTTTTAGCGTTAAATCTTTGGATAAAGCGGCATTAACGTTACAGATTCAGTGGACGGCAGACGCGATGACCAGCAGAGCTTGTGTGTGACGGTACATGCAGCAGAGAACCTGGAGTTCACACTTACACCAAGGTAATATATGCTGTACATGAGCTTCTTGATAATACTCAGCGCAATCGGAAGGTTTACTTAGCATACCCATCTTCTATACTCCAAGCTTTGTTTAGGATCAAGAATTTTTAGTTTTTGTTCACAAAAACATGACCTTTCTTTATTCAGTTACAGCCATCAAGTTCTGTTTCTAATGGTTATTCCGGTCATTTTTCGTTCGTAGGAAACTCTTAATTATTTGTTTTCTATAATTTCATTTTGCCCTGCGCAGGATGGTGCTATGTTGCCAGCTTGTGCTTACGAAGTTAATGGACGATTCGAGCGACCTAAATTGGAGCCCACCGCATTCGTTAGATCAGTCGGGACCAAATCTCTACCTTCACAACGATATCGGGGCTCAATCTTCACTCACCCTCTACTGTGCTACTCAAGTGAGGCGTCCCTCATTTTACTGTGGCGGAAATAGAGAAAATGACTATAGATTGATCATATACCTCCACTGCACATAATTTGTACTGTCGGAAAAGGCGTTAATATATTAATTTTCATCGAGTGACTGGCAGCATGAAATGTTTACATTTTTTTTACCATGGACAACATTCCAAGCTAAAATATTTGAAATAGCACAATAATCTCAGTCATAAATTATAGTTTATTGTACATTTTTCTGTTTTACAGCCTTCACGGCTCTATTCAATAATAGATGTGAATGATACCAATTGTCTCTGCGATCCCACAATTCAATGAAACAATATAACAGTATAGGTTCTGACTTCTCATTAGTTTGTAAGTAAGTATAGGGTAGGTTGAGTTGAAGTATATGCATGAAAGGCATTGCAGTTTGTACCTTTAACGTTGACTGAATTATCATGATGGAGACCCGAAAACACTGGACGAAATATGGCCAAAAGCTACACAAGTCATGCTTAACAAGAAGAGAAAACCAAGAATAGGTTGGGAACGTAAATTGTGATTATTTATTTTTGAGCCAGAAATTAAAGCAAATATGGTAAAGGCGTAATTCGTATTTCAATGCATTGCTTACCAGAAAATTTACAAGAATTCGAGTTAACTACACGACGCACACTGTTTTTTATGTCAACAGTAAACAATTGTTTACTAATTTGATGGAGTACACAACCGTTATGTTCAGGACGACCCTAGGAGCGACAGCGTTCAGTGGAAAGCAATACGCAGCGCTCAGCACGGCGTCTGGTCGACGCCCTCCAGTCCAGCCTCGCTGTCCAGACCTCTCAGCCGAGATGAACTTAACTCCTCCGATGACCATCTCTCTACGTGAGCTTTATGTGACTGTAACATGACACAGTCATGTGTGACTGTAATATGTGTGACTGTGTCATGTGCGACTGTGTCATGTGTGACTGCGTCATGTGTGACTGTGTCATGTGTGACTGTGTCATGTGCGAATGTGTCATATGTGACTGTGTCATGTGTGACTGTGTCATGTGCGAATGTGTCATATGTGACTGTGTCGCGTGTGACTGTGTCATGTGTGACTGTGTCATGTCTCATGTGTAACTGTGTCATGTGTGACTGTGTCATGAGTGACTGTGTCATGAATGACTGTGTCATGTGCGACTGTGTCATGTGTGACTATGCCATGTGTGACTGTGTCATGTGTGCTTTATGTATTTATGTCAAGCAGAATACATCTGGGAATTTTGGTGTTTCTTATTATAATTACCTCTTATGTTCAGAATCATTTCAACTTTTGAATTTATCCGTTAATTAAAAAAGTTCTAGTTCATATTTTATGCAAATTATGCAATTGCAACTGATTGTCGGTAAATCAATTCACCAATTTCTGGTGCAGGTATAACTAGTGATGAGCATTACGAATTATTATTTTGGTCTATCATTATTTGCTTCTTATATTAACGAAAAGAAATTTATACTGCTACCAGTACATAGTTTTACGTACTTCTCGCCAACACTGCATAGCTTTGTGCAGATCTAACATGTGGACAAAGGTTGTATCGTAGATCCTAACGACTCGAGTATACAACATCATTAATCACACATTAGGCTGATACTCAGTTCCTATTTGAAAGAAACGTTTTATTCATCTAATTATGAGTGCAGCTTGGACTGGGACGCAATAGAACTGGATCTCGAGCCTAACCCTTCCACCGTCCTGGCGACAAGTCAAGAGCAGCGTGATCAGTACTTCCCGAAAAAAGAGTTCAGCACAGACTACATCGAACTTTTCAGACGGCTTACCAAGTACAAGATCAAAATTTCGGTGACAGGTAAGACAGTGACGTCCAATTTGTCTAAACAGCGTCACTAAAAATGAACGATAATTCGGGCTTCAGTGTTGCTGAGGTCTCGATTAAACAGAATGTTCCACGTATGTCACTGAGTTAAACGGACCATCAATTAGAACTCCAACCAAAGATCATTTTTACTGCATCACTGTGCACATATTTTTTTCGCAAAAAAAACATTTTTAAGATTAATCTCTGTTTTCAGGTTTCGAGCCGCTGGTTGTATTTTTTTCGCACAAAATATTTTTCAGATTCATCTTTGTTTTCAGGTTTCGAGCCGCTGGTCGTTTACGTTGGGTCAAGGTCTCGTAGACGCATCTTTCACCTGCGGTCGGAGCGATCACAAACAACCTGTCCGCTCTTCGTGGACGTTCGCAACTGTGGAACAGAAGTTCACGTTACTGTCAGCAGCCCGCTCAAGGTTCAGTAATTTATTTATTAAAGGCAATAAAAATTATATGGTCGCTTAGAACCTAATTGTAAATTCCAATTTTTGTGTTTTCAATTTTCAATTCGGGTCTTAAACTGTATTTCGAATAGATCGTTGCAACTCCCCTGGAATGCCCAGCAACTTTGTATCAAACATGATAAATATATTTCTTTGCACTTTTTTTTAAATTGCTACGTTTTGAACGTCCAAAGTCATTTGATTATGGTATCGTCACAGGTTATGAACAACACTCGAATGCCAGTGAACTTATGCTACCTCAAGAGCAGTCTACCACAGTACCCAGCAGACGACTTGTCCTCCAACCTACCACCGATCGCGTCACCCAGCAACCCGTTCGAGACGCACCCGTCGCTTACGACCCTACAGCCTGACGAAGTCTACACCGTGCCGCTCCTCGTGGCCTACCACTCCGGCCTTTACCTCCAGCCTGCGGCCTCTGAGTACGTCTCAGTTTTAGGATATCTTTTATTTATAGATTTGAGGTTTTCAAATTAACATCAACTATTTACACATGTGAAAAGTTCTTGGTAATTTGATTGGTGATGAATGCATCAGAGCCCAAGAAAGGAATATATTTTAAAAATCCAAAGGTAATACCCGTACGATTTTTTCTTTTTTAGAAAATCCGTAAATTCGAGTACTGACAAAAATGTAATACTTAGTTAAAATTTGATGGTCCGGGTGCGTGTGCAGGTACAGAGTGAGCAGAGACGGGGTGTGGTGGCAGGACGCCAAGACGCTGTCGCGCCCTCTGCTCATCAGCTGCACGCGACCTGCAGACAAAATCCCCATGACCTTTGCTGTGAGTTATCGGCTACTTAGTGCAAGCAGTTCAACTTACAAAGTTGTCTAATAACTAAAGCTTTCATGAACTTGGACAAAGTCGAGCGTTGGAATTTCATTTCTTTGAAATTAATTATTTAAATGCTAAAGTTTAACTCAAAAGTGAAATTTTTAAAATATAAGGCCGAAAAAAACGTACTTAGCCACGTGATGTGTTGAAACGATAGAAATTCAGAATCGAACGCAAAAACAGAATGCATTGGAAAAACAGAATGCATTGTTCATTGGAAAAACAGAATGCATTGTTCATGGATGGTTGCAGGTATCAATGGAGAAGGGTGATTGGCTTCGCTCTCAGCAACACGACGAAGGGACGATCTCGAGCAACGTCGCAGATTTCACCCTCACGATCCAGGCGCCTCTGGTGCTTCACAATCATCTCCCCTACACCCTCGAGCTGCGACATCCTGATTTATCTCAGCCTCGGTCCCTGGATCCCGGCGCTGCTTCTTCCTTCCACCACTTCGATCCTGAACAAAAACTCACCGTGCAGCTACAAGTGAGATTTTTTTTTCAGATCAGGTCAGATTTTTTCTGTGAGCGCCATTAGGTTAAATTTTTTGTTCAAAATTTGCGGTAGTGACTACCATTTGCATCTTTAAGATGAAACACGACTGTTTCTCGTATTCAATTTGGCAGCAAAAACTACCAAAGACCTAAGAATAGTTTGCTATTGTTTGGGTGTCTGAGAAATCCTTCTCCAATCGGAATTTGCTGACCTAAACCCTCACTGCTGTAGGTGAATAACTATCTTGGAAAGGACTGGAAAGGTAGCCTGGTTGTTTCATCTGACAAGACCTCCGACATGCGGAGTGTTGCTCTGTCTGACGCGGACAGCGGTCACAAGCTTGAGCTTCTTGTTAGAAGCGTATCTTGCCCAGCGTTTGCACTTTTCGTCCACACTCCTTACTGGATCATCAACAAAACCGGCCTGACTCTTTACGTCCAGGTATGGAGGACGAATTATGATGCTATAGACCATTTATATGCATTGTTTTCATCTTTTCCGATTTATTCCTTTGAGCTAACGCCTCTTTTTTGCTATGTAACAGACATAATAAGTGAGTAAAAAAAATATTCCAACACACTATTCGTTGGTAAAGGTATTACACTTTAGAAAAGAAGACATATGAGACATCTAATGCTTACTCTGAATTATCATAACCTTTTTTCTCTACAGGGTGCTCGAAAAGCTGAGTACAAAACTGAATCCCAAGATCAAATTTTGCTCTACAAGTACAAGCCAAATTCGCCCACAAAAATTAGGGTGAGTCTGATTTGATTGTAAGAGTTAGCGTGCAGTCATGAGATTACCTGCAAAATGTAAAACATGCGCCGGTTTGGCACGTTGTCGTACCAGCGAAATTTAAAGTATGAATATCAGCCCCAGAATTCTTGTCCTGACTAAGGCAAGTTTCAAACTACGATAAGCAAGTTGTTTTCGAAAAAGCGCTGGAATTTCGTCAATGATAAAACTTGACTTGCAAAGAACTTGACTCTATTAAAAATTGAAAAACAATTGACTTGATTTCATGGGTATACTCGTATTATGGAGTTTTCACAGGGAACGAGAAGTTGATGAATCGAAACAATTTGCAAGACTTTGAAAGCATCGCTAGAAAAATTTGTTCGGCTTGTCATAACCAGGGTTGAAGGATTGAATATAAAATTTAATGGACACAAATATTTTGCTTGAGGAACATCGATCGAGACTGAACTGTAAATTAAAACTGAGCTAAATTAAAATTAAACTGACTCATTTATATATTGGACCTAACATGCCTCTACATACATGACTGTGGGGTAAGTGCCAGTCATTACCCACACAGTAAAACAAGAATGGAAATGAAAGAGACTGGAACTGAGATTTTACTGCAAGGCAATATAACAAGAAGGTGGGCTTTGAATACAAGTATCAAGATGGAAAAATAGTGTAAAGAATAATACCCTTGGCAACGTGATTATCAAGACAGCCTCGCGTGGCGGTCACCAATTGTGGGGTAAGTGCCAGTCATTACCCACACAGTAAAACAAGAATGGAAATGAAAGAGACTGGAACTGAGATTTTACTGCAAGGCAATATAACAAGAAGGTGGGCTTTGAATACAAGTATCAAGATGGAAAAATAGTGTAAAGAATAATACCCTTGGCAACGTGCGTATCTGTTGAAGATTGAATCTAATAAGTGATCGTCGTTGAAGATGAATGAAGAGAAATAATAATACAATATAACAATTATTCAGACAATAAAAAAAGGAACCTATTAGAGCTTAAACTAACCTGCAGCGGGGATCAGCCGAACAATAATGACTAACGAGAAAATTCTGTGCGCGACGTTAACTTCCTACCGGTGTTGCCAAGGTAAAGGTAAATCATAATCTTATTACAAAATAAAAGTCGCAAAATGCCTTAACACTACATGACTCCGATCCTGCTTGCAATGGACATCACTTTGTTACGTCTTGTAACAATAGAGTATCTTATTTTATCTATGCTTCTTGTGGTTATACTCAGGTGAGGGAAGAAGAGAGCGACTGGTCCCGACACTGGAACCCGAACGCGCTGGGGACCGACGGAGTTGTGTTTTGTCCGGACCGCAAGCGCGGCAAGAAATATCGCTTCTGCGTCACGTCGCAGATGGCAGCCGTGACCGCCGCCATTTGCGTCGCCGATGGTCCGCTTGGTGAGTTGCCGAAAGTTTAATAAATTCTCGAGAAAACCTTTGTTTTTCAGAAGAGAGCTGACATTATTTCTGTTTTCAAGAAGATTTTTTTCGGTTTTCGTATTAATCTATTCAATTTCCAAGAGCAACTTCTTTGTGTCTACCCTAACAAAATTTAGAGTCGCCACAGCTTCTGGTAATCCAAATCAGAAGCTGATGCGTCTGTAAATTTTCACTGGCTAGTATTAAAAAACTCAACTCTTTCTGAACACGTACTGTCAAAAAATTATTCAATAACTAAAATTGAAATGTTAATATTTTAATATAGTATGATATAAAATGACAATGCATTATTTTCTAGCGATTCATCATCACTCGTTACAATTGATTATATAAAAAATGAATAAACAGTCCAAAATAGAAATAAATCTTTCATAAATAATGCTGATAAAATTATTAAAGACTAAAATTACAATATGCTATATATTTTTACATTTATACTGCTAATAATAATTTTTTTTATTTTTACAGTGCACAGGACTAGCAAAGAGCACCTGACGACGCTGGTGACTCTCTCTCCCTACTTCATGGTGCGCAACATGACATCCCGCACCCTCAGGTTCATGGAGGACAGTGATAAAATGGACCTCTGGCATGACCTCGAACCTAAACAAGTACGTTATTATCATGTCGTTATTAATCGTGTAATTCGTGTTGAGTAGTCACGGTCGGCAGTGTGTGATAGTTACGGTTAACTGTGTTGAATAATCATTGTCTGAAGTGTTGGATAGTCACGAATAACTGTGTTGAATACTCATTGTCTGAAGTGTTGGATAGTCACGGTTAACTGTGTTGAATGATCATTGTCTGAAGTGTTGGATGGTCACTGTGTTGAATTATATCACAGTCGTAAATGCAGCTGAATTTACGGTTTACCGCACTGTATAGTCAAAGTAGCAGTGTAGAATGGACACTGATAACTGTGCTGAAAAGTCAACGTAAAGAATGACGACACTGAATAGCCGAAGTCACAGTGTAGAAAAGAATCGGTTCGAAAAGCTAAATACTCAAATTCAAAGTGCAGAATGGTTACGGTTAACCGTCCTTAAACAGTCCTTCGCAGTGTAGAATATCGGCGGTTAACCGTTCTGAATAGTCGGAATAGTTAATTTCACTGAGTTCTATATACAATTTCATTGTTCACAAATATATACAAGTGTTCTCTGATTTCATGTTTACACTGAGCTGATGACGTCTTATAGGAAGTATTACTTGTTAGTTTCAAGGCAAATTGGTCCTGGCTCATTGCGTCGTATGGTAACGGATTTCATGTTGAATAGTCACTGTCGAATCGTGTAAAATTTTTCTATTAGTGTTTGAAATTTAATGTTAGACGAACATGCAAGCTTGTTTGTTTACACACATTCTGCAAGCTACGCGTAAAGTCATAAATCATAAAAGAATTATTGTTAACAATTCTGTCGGTTCTTCAGTGTCGGGCGTTCTGGCCGGAGCAGGATAAGCAGCTGATGGTGGTGCAGGCTAAGGACAGCAGGATGCGGTCCATGGCCTTTCACTACAACTCGGAGCACAAGACTGTTCTGCGGACGGAGAAAGGAGTACGGACACAGAGAGTAGTTGTGTTAGACTTGAAGGCTCTCTACTACCACTATAGCCAGCGCAATTCGGTATTAAGAACTGCAGTAATATACTAATATATTACCATAATGAGGCATTTATTTTAAATAATTAGGTATTATGAGTTTTATTCGCTGGGGTTCAATAATAGCTATTCCCGAATTTTCTTATAATCACAAATCTCACTCACGAAACTATAACCAACATTTTATTATCATTTATGTCAAATTTATTCTAATTTAAATATGAATGAGGCGAGTTCATAATTATCATATTCACTGTAATAATAACTGCAATTTCATTAAAGGTATACGAGTCCTACCATGAGAACAACTTGGTGTGAAAGATATAGCGCACATTATGATTCGCACACACTATTATATATCATGGGCAATACGCTAGACTTTAGTGTCAAGATCTCGCATACATGGTAACATGAGTTTATAAAATTAAATTCATGATTTGTCATCAGAGAGCGCTGGTGGTGCGAGTGGGCAGACCCAGCACCCACGAGCCCATGCTGGTGAGCCTGGAGCCCTACAGCGCCGGCGACGCGCCCGTCAGAATAGAGAACTGGTGTGACGACCTCGTGCTGAGGGTACGACAGCTACCCCACCAGGTCAGTCCAGCCCCCAGCTAAGCATTGAAGAAGCACCAGCCTGTGCCTAGTGTCTACAATGGAAGTCTACTCGTACATATAAACTAAGCCTCCATGAGTTACAGGGCACAACACACTAGGAATAATAAAGCCGGCCAAGAAAGTGGTTCCATAAGGAAAAATCACAATGCATCTATTATTACACTTTTTTAATGTATGAAGATTAATTCCAAGTAGACCATTAGTGTTCCAAATTTGTACCTATCACATTCAAGTTAATTTATTTAGTAGAAAATATGAAGATTCTTATAAACTGACTCACAATCGACGTGAAATAACCGGGTGTTTATTTAAAGCTCGGGAATATTTCTTCTGCTGCGTTAACGAATTAATTGCATGTTTGAAGCTTCCGATATTATTGGAGATATTTGGAGTCCTATAAGCTCAATAAAAATGTTTCTTACAATATCCGAATAAGAAAGTTTCTGTGCTCATTTTGATATAAGTAACTAATGAAGAGTGCGTGCAGGTGACGCTGGTGCAGCAGAGACAGTCGCTGCTCTACACCTGGGACGACCCCAGCGCGACGCGGCAGCTGCTCTGGAGCGCCTACGACGAGAAGAGGAAGGAGTTCCCTGCGCTCGTCAAGAAGGTGAGTCTGAGGAATTTGTGAACAGACAAAATAGCGGGTGTAAAAAAAAGCTATTTGCAGACGCAGACCGAAGCTTACCAGAGATTTAGTATTTAATATCTTTGATTGTCGACGTGTAGCTCTCCTTTCTTTCTGAAGTCGATGTCTTCGGTCGGATATGCTTTCCGACCCTTTTATTAAGTTTACTAAATGAGTTACTGCTTATATCTATAAATATTCGTCTTAGAACCTCGATCTACATTCATATGAATAGCTGATAAGAGGAAGAACCATATGAAGTCATGACAGCGAGTTTACTCACTTTCTCGCATTATGAGACGAAGAACTGATGTATTAGCTGCATTGGGACAAAATGATGAAAAGCTTCTTATCTGAGGAACATCTCTAATTTGGCATGAATTTAGAAATATTTTCATATGAGCTTTGGGAAACGGTTCAGTTCAATGAAAATATCGTATCTCTTTTTGGTCTCAACTTGGCACATGCAAATATACTTGCGGCTTAGAATAAAATACTTATCTAATTTAAATTCTTAAGTTAAGTTAAGGGTGGCCCAGTGGTTAAAGTTCAGAGTACGAGGATTGGAGCAGAGAGGTGCGGGTTCGATCCCAGCTCTGTGCGCCAGTTTCTGGTCAGAATCGGCGAGGAGGCCGGGCGGTTAAAGCAAAGCAAAATTTAATCAGTGAGTTGCGCGTTCGAGACCGCAACAAGCTGTGAATGTTCTGTGATGTTAGGAATCGGCGACAGGCCTACGGCCTAATAAACGCTGAAACCGCTATTATTATTATTATTAATATAAGTAAAGTTATAAACTAAAGTTGAGTTGTATTTAGTATGTGGCCAAAATATGAAATTGAACAAGTGTTCAATTACCGATTTCATTGTGTTCTGGAACTAGTACCTCATCGTGCCAGTAAAATAGGAAGGAAATTGTGAAATTTTTATATGTGCCTAAATAGGAACAAATAAAGTGATCCATTCTCACAGAGCGGCAGCGGATCGGAGCTGATCAGCATTGAGATGAGCCGCAACCTGACGCAAACTAGCCGCGACAAGCCCAAGACGCGCCCTGGCAGCTCCTCTAAAGGCGCCCTCAGACAGTCGTCATCGTCGTCTGACGAAGGAGAACATCCAAACGCCACCAAGGTTCGCTTTCTGGCTGTCGTATCACTCACGCCAGAAGTAGTTAACTAGCCTCGTTTATACATAAACTTCTTTTCAAACGCTAGCAAATAGTATAATAATTATTGCATGAAAATATAATGTTGTTATGAAGAACAATTTTTTCTCACTATAACTATACTCAACCAACATCTTCTAAATGATATTAATTTTGTAAAAATCCGTTTTTCGTGGATGTTCCGCACGCGAAATGTACGTTCTTAAGAAATTATTCTACGTTGCGTAACAATAGCAGGAATTTATTCACATCATGAGTTTGATAAAAAGGCCATGTTATATATTAATGACATTTTTTATTTATTTACAACACTTCTCTTTAACTTCACTTCTTGTTTGTCTGTCTGTCTGTCTGCTACAAATCTTGTAATCAAAATTTAACACACTTCTACTTATCCTATCGATCTGAAATTTCACACACTTGCTTAAAGTTGGAGACAATGCGCGAATCAAATGTCAAAATAAATGATTTTAAAAATTAAAAAAAATTTCAATATTAAAAAAATTGAAAACAATAATTTTGTCAGTTACAAATCTTATAACTAACTGATATTTGACACACTTTTACCTGTCTAATTGATCTTAAATTTTGCACACTTGTGTGAAGTCAGAGACAATGCATGAATTAATTAATAGAATAAATAATTTAAAAAAATAATTTATATATGAAAAAAATTTATATATTAAAAAAATTGAAAATTAATTTTTTTAATATTTGACAATCAAATGAGAAATTCATTTTACATCTTTAAGATTGGAGACACTGGATTCTTTGGAAGTGTTGTCTTTAAAAAGTAATTTTTGTCCTCTATCTTGACATTAGCACGTCCTACGGAAAATTAAGCAATTCTTTTATAACTGATGAGTTATTACTATAATCTTAAACTGAACGCAAGCGATATCTCCTAGTTACCGCAATCAAACGATAGGAGACTTAAATATATTTTACCCAAGAATAAATAAAAAATGACTGGGCATATTACTATAGTCTTGAACTGAACACAAGCAATTTCTGCTTATGAACACGATCAAAAGATAAGAAACTTAAATATATTATACATTCCAATATAAAAAAATTACTGAGCTTATTACTATAATCTTAAACTGAACACATATCTTCTAATTAACGCGATCCAACGATAGGAGACTTAAATAAATTATACCCTAGAATAAATGAAAAATTACTGGGCATATTACTATAGTCTTGAACTGAACACAAGTAATTTCTGTTAGTGAACACGATCAAACGATAGGAGACTTAAGTATATTATACCCTAGAATAAATAAAAATTTACCGGGCATATTACTATACTCTTTAACTGAACACAAGCAATTACAGCGTGTGAACACGATCAAACCATAGGAGACTTAAATATATTATACCTTAAAATATAAAATAAGTTACTGAGCTTATTACTATAATCTTAAACTGAACACAAGCGGTATCTTCTAGTTAACGGGATCAAACGGTAGGTGACTTAAATATATTATACCCTTGAATAAAAAAAATTTACTGGGCATATTACTATACTATTGAACTGAACACAAGCAATTTCTGCTTGTGAACATGATCAAACGATAAGAAACTTAAATATATTAAACCTTAAAATCTAAAATAAGTTACTGAGCTTATTACTATAATCTTTAACTGAACACAAGCGATATCTTCTAGTCAACGCGATCAAACGATAGGAGACTTAAGTATATTATACCCTAGAATAAATAAAAAATTACCGGGCATATTACTATAGTCATAATTACTGAGCTTGTTACTATAATCTTAAACTGAACACACGCGATATCTTCTAGTCAACGCGATCAAACGATAGGAGACTTAAGTATATTATACACTAGAATAAATAAAAAATTACCGGGCATATTACTATAGTCTTTAACTGAACACAAGCAATTACTGCTTGTGAACACGATCAAACCATAGGAGACTCAAATATAATAAACCTTAAAATATAAAATAAATTACTGAGCTTATTACTATAATCTTAAACTGAACACAAGCGATATTGTCTAGTTAACGCGATCAAACGATAGGTGACTTAAATATATTATACCCTTGAATAAATAAAAAATTACCGGGAATATTACTATAGGCTTGAACTGAACACAAGCAATTTCTGCTTGTGAACACGATCAAACGATAGGAGACTTAGATATCTAATAGTGGTAGCAAGTTGACAAGTAACAACTAACATGTTGACACTGGTAACAGGCTGAGGTTGACAACATTGCACCGAAACCTTTGCTACAGTTTGTTACTGCTTGTGAACACGATCAAACCATAGGAGACTTAAATATAATAAACCTTAAAATATCAAATAAATTACTTAGGTTATTACTATAACCATAAACTGAACACAAGCGATATCTTCTAGTTAACGCGATCGAACGATAGGTGACTTAAATATATTATACCCTTGAATAAACAAAAATTTACTGGGCAAATTACTATACTATTGAACTGAACACAAGCAATTTCTGCTTGTGAACACGATCAAACGATAGGAAACTTAAATTTATTATACCTTAGAATATAAAAAAAAAAATTACTGAGCCTATTACTATATTCTTAAACTGAACACAAGCGATATCTTCTAGTTAACGCGATCAAACGATAGGAGATTTAAATATATTATACAACGCGATCAAACGATAGGAGACTTAAGTATATTATACCCTAGAATAAATAAAAAATTACCGGGCATATTACTATAGTCTTTAACTGAACACAAACAATTTCTGCTTGTGAACACGATCAAACCATAGGAGACTTAAATATCTTAAACCTTAGAATATTAAATAAGTTACTGAGCTTATTAATATAATCTTTAACTGAACACAAGCGATATCGTCTAGTTAACGCGATCAAACGATAGGTGACTTAAATATATTATACCCTTGAATAAATAAAAAAATACCGGGCATATTACTATAGTCTTGAACTGAACACAAGCAATTTATGCTTGTGAACACGATCAAACGATAGGAGACTTAGATATCTAATAGTGGTAGCAACTTAACAAGTAACAACTAACATGTTGACACTTGTAACAGGCTGAGGTTGGCAACATTGCACCGAAACCTTTGGTACAGTTTTATTCTGTAATTTATATTATGTATGTATCATGCTGGTTTTTAAATAATATTTAATACTATTAAGTAAAATCTAAAGGCTTTATCTATAAATGTAGCGGTAGCGCTGTAGCGGCAAAACCTCGTATCGCTACTTAAATATGTAGCGGGCGCTACTGCTACCGCTACATGTAGCGCGCTACTGCCCACCTCTGCTGATGAGCGTATCATTACGATTGACGCTTGTTTGAAAAATGACACATTAGTGTAAAAATTTTCAACCGAACACAGCATATCTTGCTTGAAACAAATTACATTGAATGATTAGTGTAGGAATTACTTGCTTGAAACAAATACTAAAGATATTTTCTGTTTGAAATTAAACTTTGTTTATCATCGCTATTCTATCACCAAGACAACACATGTGCTGCAGAAGGAGACGGTGCGCGTGTACTGGGTGAGCTACATGGACGGTCTGCAGAGAGTGCTGCTGTTCTCGCAGAAGCCCCGGCTCGCCGCCCTCTCCAGGGCCCTCGAGGAGCAAGCCTCCCTCGAGTTCGTGGCGTCACTCAGCCATGTCGGACTCTCACTTGTGAGCATAAGTCTTATTAAATTCATCTGTGATCTATAAATTCAATGATAATAATTGCGCTATACCGTACTAAAGCTATACTATACTGTACTAAATAAAGCTTGGTTAAAGCTATTTTAGCCAAGGTGTTATTCTCGAGTGCCTATTTGAAGTATTGTTTCAAATATCTCTTGCATATACATGGTGCAATGTCTGTGTGTTAGAAGGTTTAAAGTCTGGCACCGTAAATAGCAAGGGGGCTGTTCGAGCGCGTATCCACGATATTTGTTCAGAGAAAATATGACCTGAGATTCTATTCTTAGTGAGAGAATAGTACGGCATTGCAAAATTAGGTTAAAATACTGGATCAAAATATGAAATTGGATTTTTGGCGAAAAAATGGTATACGCAAATTATTCTCACGTCGAAAAGACGCAAAATAACTTTTTCTAATTTTGAAATGAGAGAAGAATAGAAGTTTTATATTCTACTTAAAATATGGGTTTGAATGAATTTTTCTATTAACCTATAATATATTTTATATTTTAACAAAATTTTAAAATTGGTAGGATTGTCGATCCCATGCAACACCGGCCAACCTGATAGCTACAATTAAATAAATAATAATAAAAAATTATTAAAAACACATTTTTCATTGAAAATTCTGCAGATCACAGAGCAGAAAGAAGAGCTTTGTTATGTTAGCCTGCAGTCAAGCCCTGCCACGTGGGAGGTCTTCCTAGCGGGAAAGTTCAAGTCTGTTCCTTCTCTGGAGTTAGCGACGTGGCTTGAGTACCAGTACCAAAATTGTGAAGACTTTTCTACCAACATCGCAGGCTCCTTGCAGGTTAGTAAAGCATGCTTAATAAAATGACATCCACGCCTGCTTTTAACTCTTTGCCCAAAACACGAACGCTCTTTGCTTGGGGAAAGCGCCCATACATCTGACCTGCAGATACGTCACTGATTCCATTACTTCAATTCCTCAAATAAAACAGGAAGCATGTAATACATCAGGGATATTAAATGTTTTAAACAACGCACGAGCATGTTGAACTTTGTTTTAGTAAGTTTATGAGCACATAAATGCACGTTATTAGGAAAAACTTAATCCAATAATGACGGCTAATCGGATAAACTATAAAAAATTTGTTTGTCGTTAAATTAAAGTAAAATATTCTAACTGGTCCATTGGTGTCAGATCTTTGGGGTGAGTTTTATAAAAGTCTTGCAGTTTTATTTTGTACATGCATGTTATTTTTATGCATCAAGATGGAGTTTGCATTGTTATTTTAATGAATGTTTTACTGCACATTTGAGCTGACAATTTCATGCTTGCTCTCTTGCCTTATTTTTCTTAGGCTCTGCTTTTGTATTTTTAGACCAGCCCTTGGGCATGAGAGCAGATTTTTGGTTTGGAAAAATTTCTGGAATTTTTTCAACTTATTTTCCTTTTTTTGTAGAAATCGGTCGCACGGTCCCGCTCAGTGAAGGTAATTAAAAAATATCCAAGTAAGTAAGTAGTTTCGTTGATGCATATCCTAATATCCTTGATGTAACATGCAAGTCCTTCAACTATGAAGCAAATTAGAAAACCCCTCTCATCATAGAAAATCTTGTGACGAAAATATTAATCAGAACCATGGCAATTAGTTGTAGCAGTCGCGAAGAAAGCCCTCAGTTGTAAGCAGTCGATAATGATGATTGTCTTATTCAAATGGTGGAGACTCGTATGGCACATGTTTGCAAAATGAATTATGCCGAACTTTTATGCCTTCAGACACGCTCGTTAAGTCTGTGCAACCTTTTGAAGAGACTGCTTCGGTAAACTCTGATACGCTTATGATTTGTTTGTTGAGTTTTGATGAAGTCTGATACGACTGAGCAGGTTAACTTTGACTCGATGACGCTCGAGAAGCCCTTCCTGGCCAAGCTGCGCCGACAGCAAAGTCCTGCGGTGTGGCTACACTACCGCTGCTCCCAACACTACAGCGGCGTCTGCCTCACACTTCACAGGCTCCAGGTAAATAACTTCTAGAAAACGTTGCATTACTCATAACTGTGATTCATAGATCTGCCTCACACTTCACAGACTCCAGGTAAATAACTTGAAGAAAACGTTGCCACACTCATAACTGTAATACATAGACTGGTTTGTTCTCTCACGAGCTGGATAGGCCCACTCGTAAGATGTAATCAGTTTGATGCAGAGGTTTACTATCAACCTAACTCTACGTATGCCAATTTACTGAAGAAATATTTGGCTTTCTAAACCCAAGTTAGTCAAGGTGATGAGTTATTATTTCATATCATAATGATGTCGGCGCTGAAGAATAGGCCTGATGTGGCCTGTCGCCGATTCTTGCACATTTCCTGGCTTGTCCACATGAGATCTAAAAACAGGTCCTATGACCGGATCTTTTCAACACTGTCGATAGTTTGGAATAGCTAAAGGACTTTCACCAAGTTCGATATGGTGCTAGACTGCTAGGCATGTCAAGTCTGAACATATATTTTTCCATAGCTTTATCTAGTCTGTTTTTGAACGCGTTTATACTCGGAGCGTCAACGATGCAATCGGAAAGGCTGTTCCACATGTCGGTGATTCGATGCGAAAAGAAATGTTATGCCTAAAAAATTCTCTGTAGCGGCCAGAACTCTGTACTATATACCGGCCGATGTATGACGTTCTTTTCTGAATTATTTGAACACGAGTGATTCCTTTTAATACGTTCTTTTCAATAATTAATGGTTGTGGTTACAGGTGGACAACCAGCTTTTGGGTGCCCACTACCCCACCGCCCTGAGCCCCGCCCCCACTACCACACCCAACGAGCACTGCCTCGCCCTCAGATCCTTGCTCCACTACCCCACCTCGGGCCCACCAACCCTCAGGTAGCCCTCGGGCCCACCAACCCTTAGGTAGCCCTTGGGCCCACTTACCCTGCGGTAGCCCTCTCCATGAAGCTGTAGTTCAGGTCCAGTAATAACCAATGATCGTTCTAAGAAGCACTGTAAACTTTGACTTCATTCCGGTATTCAGAGTTTATTTTTGAATTTTTGTTTGAGGTGGAGAAGCATATCATCAGAGTAAGAATTCTTCAAAATTTATTTATGCAACCTTAAGTAACCAGTTATTCAATTAATTTTATTAATTAAAGAAGGGGAGTTAAAGTTGAATTTATTAATTTTATTAATTAAAGAGCTTAATTAAAGAGCAGTTATCTATTTAATTTAATCAGTTCTTGGCATTGCATTTCTGTGTCCATTAAAAGAACAAATATAAATATAAAAATAATTAATACTGAGAACCTTCCGTTCTCAGTATTTCAGTTGAACAAATCCAACCAATCACAGAAGCAGCTTACGAATCAATGTGGTAGTACAATCGTACTTAAAAGCTGATATCTACACGGGCCCTAATTTCCTGTCAATCAAAGGCATCTGAGTTTGCTCGGGACGGAGTTCAACCTCAAGTTGGACGGAGACTTCTACCTTAAAGCCTGGGACCTCTACACTCAGCTGCTGCCTCAGCAGCCTCCCTGCCTGCGGACGCAACTCCAGCACATGCACACGCCGCTAGCCTTCCTGTACTCGCAGGTTAGTGTATGACCGCAGGTTAATATATAGTCGTAGATTAGTATATACTCGCAGGTTAGTATATACCCGCAGGTTAGTATATACCCGCAGGTTAGTATATACTCGCAGGTTAGTATATGACCGCAGGTTAGTATATGACCGCAGGTTAGTATATGACCGCAGGTTAGTATATACCCGCAGGTTAGTTTGTACCAGCAGGTTAGTATATACCCGCAGGTTAGTGTATACCCGCAGGTTAGTATATACCCGCAGGTTAGTTTATACCCGCAGGTTAGTATATACCCGCAGGTTAGTATATACTTGCAAGGTAGTATTTACCAGCAGGTTAGTATATACCCGCAGGTTAGTATATACCCGCAGGTTAGTTTATACCCGCAGGTTAGTATATACCCGCAGGTTAGTAAATACCCGCAGGGCCGCAGGTTAGTATATACTTGCAGGTTAGTATTTACCAGCAGGTTAGTATATACCCGCAGGTTAGTAAATACCCTCAGGTTACTATATAATAGCACGTTAGTATATAAAAAAGGTGAAATAACAATTTCGTATACCAAGTCCCTGAGAGTGGAACAAATATGCGAGTTCAGCAAAGGAAGAAGTAGTGCAGAAACGCCCTCGGAAGCCACACTAATATCCTGAATTTATGAACTGAATAACAATGTTAACAGAGAAGGAAAATTGTTACAAAAAAAAAACATTTTACTAACTCAGAGAAGATTTTTAACAATTGTAGCTTTTTCACGCTGATTACGATTTTCCAGATTTATGAATTTAAAAGATTTAGCAAGGTAAATAGCAAAAATGAAGGTATATTACAGTTGCATTCACAGTCTTCAAATATAGATGTAATGTTAATTGAAATTGCGGCAGAGAGGAGTCGAGAGTGGGTCTCAGTTGGACGTGGTGGTAGAGAAGGTGTGCGTGGCAGGTTTTAGCCTGAACCTGTCATACTTCCCAGCTACTCACTTCAGCCACAACGCAGATCAGGACCCAAGCTGGCTCTGTTCTTTGCCAGCCTCACTGCTCGAGGTCAGATGTTTGTTTATCCTGAGGGTAGTTAGTTTTAAAATTAAAATTTATTCAGAAATGAGATTCCCCACGAACTAATTTAGCAATTTTGAATTTGATTACAAATAAATTTCCGTACTACTTCTTATTCCAGAGTGAGAAGATAACTATTTTTAGTAAAGGCATGGACTAAAATAAAGGAAGTTGAAATGCTCGACATTCCTTTTGACGTAATTACTGTTAATGTTGTTAAACATTGCGCGAGTCACTGTTGGCGATCCGCTACACGTTCTCAGTTGTCTTACGCTAGGTATAATGCATTTAGTAAATACTTTTGCTTGAATCAAGATCCAGACTCCTTGCATTATTTCTCGACCATTAATTGATGGTTGTATGCAAAGCCTAATATCCGCATCTAAACTCCGAATGCTTCTGGATTAAAATCATAATTAAGGAAAATTAATTACAAACGGAAGTTTCCCAACACTTCGCTAGACGAGAATATAATGATGGAGTTTTTCCCTCCACACGCGCAGTTGAAGGACGTGAAGCTCAGCGTAGGACAGTACCACCGCGAGAACAAACCTCTCAACGACGTTCTGTGGGACTTCCTTGAGGCGTCCTACTCACAACTCCTGCAGCAGGTCAGACCGATGTTCAGCTCTCACGTTATCATTATACTTTATTAATTAGTTAGGTCGTGTTAGCTGTAATCAAATTCGTATAAATTACGGTTGTGTGATCAATTTTAAACTACATCCAGTAAGTTCATGATGACTCTCATTTTCATTTATTGCAACACATAAAACTGTACGCCAGGGTTCAAGCGAGAAGTCTCATAATCACAATAAGAAACATGAATGAAATTCGGAACATACTGGCAGACCGTTAACCCATCTCTACCATTAACATGTAATATTTCACACAATAGTGATGGCCCTACCCAAATAGAATAGAATAGAATAGAAGTGTCGGCATTGAAGAAAATAGGCCCATGGCCTGTTGCCTATGTTGCTTAATAATCTAATCTGCCAACAACAATTGTTAATTTATCTGAGAATGTAGAATAATTGCCACCTTTGAGATGTCACGGCCAGAAAATGATGTTACTGCTGTAAAATAGATAATAATAATATTCTACGTAGAATATGCGTTTATTCTACGTTTATTCTACGTAGGTAAGTTGCGATCGTTACCCACAGATATTGATGCTTTGATAATAAAAAACGAAAAATGTTTTAAGGAACTTTAATGTTTTTTTAATGAAAGTATTGAGTTAAGATTTGCCGTGGCGCTGTGCAGAAGCTGGTGCTGGCGCTGGGGCTGGACATACTGGGCAACCCTTACCAGCGCCTCCGTGCCCTCACCGAGGGAGTGTGTGACGTCATCTACGACCCTGATAAGGTTTTATTCTTGTCTTAAATTGCCAGGAATTGTTTTATAAACTAGGAAAATCTGCATCATTGTTCCTGATGATTTCAATTTAGTCTTATTTGCATCTTTAACATTAATTTTCAGCTGGTCTTAACGAAAAGAAAAAAAGTGCGCTCTGCTTTAAAATAATGTTAATTAAAAGAGTGATGTTATATTCTTCTCTAAAGATTCCAATATATCAAAAGGTAAAATATGTTTGAAAGGGTTTTTTTAGCGCACAAATCAAAATTTCGTCTTGATGTGCCAAAATCATGAAATGCTTTCAGTGCCGACATAATTGTTATAAATTGTATTTGGTTGCATCTATATTTGAATGTTCAAATGCTTGAATAGAAAATAACAGGCAAAATATCCGGCCAATTCAAGATGTTATCATGAAAAGCAGAGAGCTAGACAAAAAACTATTTTACACTCAAAGTAGGATTAGTAGGATTCACTACATGCAGAATCAGTATAAGCTTTGCGAAAATTCCCTCTACCTATAAACATTAGTGTCAATCGAAGTTATTAGTGCCAATCGTTATGCGGTTATGAAAATTTTCGGTTGCCACAGGGCTTGTTGGAAGAACCTGACGCTTACGAGTGGAAGGTGGCGAAGCGTGTCCGTAGACTTTTGTGCCTCGTAGTGGGCGGAACTATCCAGTCGACAGCCTCAATGATGCGCACGGCGTCAAACGTCGCTGCCAAAGCCGTCCTAACTCCGCACGAACAAAAAGTGAGTGTAATAAGACTTATTTTGTGGCATATAATACCATCATCTAGTGATAATTTAACGAGTTTCAACCATTACAGGCGGACAGATTTTTTTTTTCAAACGAAGAAATTTTGATGAGTTTTGAAGGACAGCGCGCAGCCGTGGCCCGTGGACCACCAATTACTGACACCAATCTGCCCTAATAGAATTGCCTATCATCTTTCCGTAAAACCGCCAATCATTCGTAAGGCCGCCAATCAAGAACAGAAGCGAATGGCCTTGAGTGCAATGACTGTCCGCCACTAAACTTTTCATCGTAGCATTACTTCATAATCTGACCAGCACTGGAACTGTAACAAGTGCACGACGTTTTGCAATCAGCAGGTTCTCAGTAGGAATTTAAGTGAAACCTGCCTAGCACCACAAGGCCGTGGATCGAATACTTCTTCGGTGGCATCGTTAAATTACGTCGCTATTTGCTAACAGAAACTGAAGTGAGGTTTCAATTGGTTAAGTTCGGTTCCAAGATCAATCGTCCTTTTCGACGGTTGGCCTTTCGATCGCGGGCTGATACGATGCAGAGACTTGGTAGGTGAGGATTATGAAGACACAATTTTTTTATGTAAAATGTTTTATTTGTTATCGGACGATGCTGGACCATGCCGTTCCCGGTTTTATGGCTAGAGTCTGGTATGGTACAGCGTGTAAATTTATCTGAATTAATTTTTATTACAGAAACGACACCTGCGCGTGAACACTGGTGAGCGGAGGGTGCAACCAGCGCAACGATCCCTCGCTCTCAGTCTCATCTCTGGATCCTTCAACTCTCCTTCGAAACCCGCTTACGGTGAGTCCCGAGTTGATAACAAATCGGATTTTTATGAACTTTTTTTTTTTTATTATCTCGGCAACATTAAGGTTCCTGTCAACAATATACGAGGAAGAAAGAATCTAAAATGCTCAGTGGCGTATGAAATTTTTCCAATAAAATTAATGTATACAGATATTAGCTGCTATGCTGTAATCCCATGAAGTGTGAGCTAGACGAAGAACCAGTGCGGTCGAGCATTCAAGGATGGCTTCTTCATCTTTTGTTATGAAAAAAAATTTTTTAGGAAAAGGTTTCGGCTTAAAAATCGTTTAACTATCGCTCAAGTAATAATTTCAGTACTGAATACGTGTAATTCATATTTTGGTAATTTATCTTTTCCTAATAAGAATATTATCACTGAGTCAACACGATGTATGCACTAGATAGCAGGAAGAATTTGACGCAAGCGTGTTCTCTCAATCATGGATTAACTTACGTTTAAATTTTGTCATATATAAACTTACAGTATGTGTCTATCTCAGCAGCATTGGTATAATTTAAAATGTTCATGCTTATATTTTATAAAGAAGATATATTACCCGGTCTAAATTATTCCATCGATTTTCGCATTGAACAAAATTTCTAAAGGCAAGCTTATTCCTAAAGAAGACTTTTTCTCGGCAGAAATGATATAAAAATAATTTCTGGATAAAAAATTATAAATTTACATATGTTTCGTTTGATTTAAATTAAAATTAAAATATTCTTCAATTTATGGTTTAATAATGAAGAAATAGAATCGAGAATATATATACTTTAGCCAGAAAGTAAAAGATTGAATTTTCTCCCGTCAACGTTTTCTGATTTCTAAATTATTTTCATTTATGCATGTACAATATAAAAAGTTTAAATCAATAAATACAAGGTTAGCAGGCTGAATAATGTTCTGATTATCTACAGGCAGCAACAACGAAGGGCTTCGAGGCTTCTTGAGCGGAGTGGGGCGCGGGGTTCACAGCCTCACCACCAAGCCCGCGCTGGGGATCTTGGACGCTGCCTCCTTCACTCTCGACGCTGTCAAGAGAGCGCTGGCCATGGGTCTTGAGGTCAGTTTTATGCAGTAACTACTAACTGAATTTATCTCAATTATAATTTCTTAGACTTAGATTATAATTTCTTAGACTTAGACATATTTTGAGCCATTTTAAAAGTAAGGTAACGATCATCCCTGTTGAAATGATAGTATCCCCAAAAAAACTCGATGCGTATATAGACTATTGATTTCGTTCATTAAAAGATTTTTCCTTACGCATAGATAAGCGTACAGCACCGCCTTCCCCGGCACCTAAGCGAGCACAGCAGCCTGCAGGCGTACAGTGAGCACAGCGCTCAGGGCCGTGCTCTACTGATGGCGTTGTGCTCAGGAGCGTTCGCCCTCTCAGACGCCTACTGCACCCACTGCATCCTCGACGACTGCGACAGGTTCTCAGTCGCCATAGTCTCTGACAGGTAATTCCATTCTTTCATGTAGTAACCAAATATTTCAGTATAAATCTTCATTTTGCAATAAAAAAATTCTTGTAAGCAGGACCTTTGATTTAAGCTTGTGCGTGGCGAAGATTTCATAGCAAACAAACATATGCGTCTTCATATATAGCAAACAATCTCGCATTGAGGCAAAAAAATCCTTCCTAGTACACACGTGCGCTTGTTGCAGCTTACTATATTTTCCTAAACATGAGGACGCAGAAGAGTGAGCTTATTTATTAATCAATCTTCGAATCTTGATATAAAATTTTCCATTTCGTGTCCTCAGGAACGTGTTTTTGGTGGAGAGATGCAGCGCAGCTAGCGCAGGGGAGTTGAGTTGGCGGTTGAGCCTCCGCGACCTGTCGTCCCCGCCCTCCATGTCTGGCGAGGGCCTGCAGCTCGTAGTCCGCGGCTCCAACGCGACGCTGCAGACGCGGTACATCAAGAGTCCTGACGCTCAAAAGCTCGTCCATCTTCGAATGTGTATCGAAACTCTCCTGGTGATGGAGATGGAGAACCACCCGTGTACCGAAATTGGCTTGATTGAGGACCAGGAATGATTACACTTGCCGTTTACTAAGACACGAGTGATTAATCGTGTTTGTACTTCATGATTAATCATGATAGCCTAGTTTGTGGATGTATTTGACTGATGATGACCAAGTATGATTAAAATTTCCGTGAACCAAGATATTATCTATTGACGATGACCAGAAAATTATTGGAATATCACAGCACCGAGAAATGATTGGCCAGAAATTATCAGATTTTCTATAAGTTTAATACAAGCTAGATTGATGACGGTAATAATTGGCTGGATAGTCCTCGTTTGTAGATCCGATCCGTTAATTCGACAAGCAGCGATCATTGGATTCTCCTTAATTTCACGCTATGGGGAGCAGAACTCAGTCACTGGGAGGGACGTGCTAGACCTCAATAATAATAATAATTATTACGGCGGTTTTATTAATTAATAATACCAACCCCTGGGGTCGGTAGTAGACCGACCCCTAGGGGCCGTAAAGCTAAGCTTCTAATCATACGGCGTGGTCAAGACAACGTTGCGCAATAAGATACAGGGACAGAACCCACATTGTTTTAGTAGTTGTTTTAATCGCCCATCTTGGTAGTGGCGACTAGGGGTGAATAGGTCAGTTTATCAGGGCATTAAGACCACAGGTAGTTCCACGACATCACTGGCCGGCTGACCCGCCAGAACAATTTTCTTTGCATTACCAAACACTCTGGACAAGTTAGTGACTCATTTACCAACCAGAATTGGATTAATGCTGAATTGGCAATAAGCTAAACTCTCCGAAATCTCCGAAAGAATTTGTTCTACGTGGCACACGAACCCAGGTTGCTGGGTATGAGAGTCAGAGTGTTTCACCACTTCACCAGCGAAGCTCACAGAACTTTGTCTCGTCGCATTGACGACAGCTTGGCTTAGACTGCAGATGAGGCATAACCTAAGTCTGTACTCTTAAGTAGTCATCTCTGGTGGCATATAAGAAAATATAACTCAGTACTCACTTCAGTGAGTCACAGAGAGCGCATTTTCTCGTCGACGAAAACTTGAGGTCACGGACGGACGGACACACAGACAGACAGACGGACATGGCGAGCACAATAGTGCTTTTTCCATAAATGAGAAAATGCGCTACAAATGAGGATAAAAAACACGAATTTGTAATTTAGTTATGAACCCGATGAATTTGTTGTGCAAACGTTTCGGTGACAGTTCTCCGCCAATCATGGCGAGGCATGGATATCGTATATATGGTGTGTATTTTTAGAAGTTTTAATTATGCTATAATATGGTAATAATAATATGAAAAAGGTAAAAATTAAGAAAATTAAACCGTTTGAAAACTGATATAGCTTTTCAATAACTCGGTAGCGAATGTTAACCTTAGGAAGTGATAAGTATATAGGAAAAAATTCGAATGTTATTAATTCGGATTCCGAATAAAACCAAACAGGAGTAAGTTGAATTCGAATAGAACCAAACAGGAATAAGTTAAACCCGTATTACCTTTACGTTCGAAGGGATGTTGATTAGATCTAGAATATGGCTTCAGTATAGTAATTAATGCGCATGGGCTTCCAAAATTGGAATAATAAAACAAACGCTGGTTAGGAAATCGAATTAACGGTTAAAGGCAGTAAGCCATTAGGTATTATATATTATCCATTGGCAGCTACTAATAGTTACTAAAACAGTAACTACTAATTATACACGTTTTTGTTACTGTTGGTACCGCATACTGACAGTTTTTAGGAATATAAATTTAAGATAACTTCGATAGATTCTCCGTAAATTTACGAGAACGTATTCCGTTATCAGATTTAAACTTGTATTATTTATAATGATACAGCTTTACGACAGCCAATTACATTTTACGGACTATCTCCATGATTTTTTCGCGAAGGGGTGATAGATGTGGAAAGTAGCAGGTATAAGTGATGTATACAAACATATTCTACAATTGAACTTTCCCAGCATGCTTAAAATTAGTCTGCTCCGATGATTTGATTAAAAAAAATAATTAGAGTGAACAAATTTATCGAGTTTTCTCATCAATTTACAGTTTAGTCTCGAAAACTTTTTACAGGTGTGTCGGCTAACGGAAGACAATTTCCGATGTTTGGGGACTCAAACTACTAATCTTAAGGCTTTCAGTGTTTCTCCGGAATATTTAATCGTCTTCTTCTCATAGTTAATTTTAGATTTTGAGTCGCTATTGTTGAAAACTGCTTTAGTGAATTTCCTCGGCGTACATTGCAATTGAAACCGCTAAATATGCTATACCAAACATTTCTGAAATCTCGATGAAATCACTCGTAGGTAACGCAAGTCTTGTTTTGATAGCCGTGTTTATCTTGGCTTGATGTAATCGTGAAAAGGTTGCATGGCATTACCGAACGACACAACGTTTGCGCTGCACTACTATTACTTCTTGTTAAGAATATACCGAGGCATTATTTTTCAAGATTCGTCAAGTTATGTTTCAAATAATTGAACACTTGCTGCTGTACTAATTGGATGCAATTGCAATTAACGAGCGAATTGTTAGGAAATATTTAATTAAAAGTGCAAAAGTTCTATAGAATGATTTACTCACACAGTAGGCATGCAGGCAGCGTTCATCTCTCTAACTTCTGAATTTGTAATAAGTTCATGCATTTAAATTTTAAAGACTGTAAACTCAAGAGTACTGAGCAAGTCAATATGACTCACTTGGATAGGCTCAGTGTTTGTTTATGATGCGATGCACTTTTCCGACTTCGGATGGGTCCCAATGACTCATTTGCATCAATTGCATGAGCTGCGTGAGTTCTCACGTAGGTAAGTCATGGCGACGCTCGTTCCCTGGGGGCTAATAATCTTCCACTTGGTCGACATATTTCCACCACTTATAACATTTCATCATTTAATACGATGCCAAATATATACATCAGGCGCACATATTAGGGGAATGTTAGGATTAGTTATCATTAAATTTACGTTGATAACAAACAAATCGTTCAATTATATTGTTCTATAATATTGATTTACTTGTTATATGTTATTCTGATTTCGTTGATTGTTCACCTTTAATTCTTAAGAGTAATTATGACAAGAATGTTATTAGTAAATTCCTTAGTTACAAAGGCAACTGTGATGCATTAATTTTACTTAGTATCAATGAAATTTAGTTCTATAAGCAGTCTGAACAAGTAACGAACGACTTAGTTAAATTATTTTCTGAAAGCAATAAACTTTTTAAATCGGTTCTTTATGAGAGTGATGTGCTTACTCAACCTGCATGTCTCAAGATTGGATGAATGCCTTTATGTAGTCTATTGTAAGGGTCGAAGACTGAGAATGCAGGTATGCGTCATAAGCCTCCCTCAGCCGGGGGGTGATATGCTGCACGCCTCAATAAGTCATTAAGAGTCAGTGCTCTACGCTATCTTGGAGTGTGCATCGAGAACGGTGAGTAGCGAAGCTAGATTTCATGTCTATAGCATTCAATAATACTCACTGTAACACTAATAAATCAACTGCAACACAATATAAGATCACTGTAATGCCAAAACATTCTACCGTAATCATAGCCGCACTGATACTTTGGCCCTTAGTGTTAAATCAAATGCACTCACGGTAGCACTGATAGACCAGATGCAGTCACGGTAGCACTGATACATCACAAGAAGTAACCAGGACACTGATATTTCTTACATAGTTATGTGCGGGTTGTCTGGTCAGCTTCTCTCGGTTGTTGTAAAATGTTCATAATTGCAATAAAAATCATTCGGACCAAATCTCAGTTTTTTCCTCCTCCTCACAATACAAACAAACATCTGTCCTTTTACCGGAAACTTTTCGTCGATGCGTTCTAGCATTGAGGACCTAATAAAGGCCTAGAGGCCACACTTCAAGTGTATGAACACTATTATGGTAGTCAAGGCCATGGTCAAGGCATGCACTACCCCAAGTAAAAAATAAACGCTCATATCTTCAATGTACTTTTCCAAAAGCACTGACAATGCTCCAGGTTCATAAGTGTTTCGTCAAATGCAGTGCCAACACTCCACTTACTTAGGAAATCCCCTACATGTAGAGGCAATAATCCAAGGCTACAAGAATTGTTCCAAATGTAAAGGCAATCATTATTGAGACATGACTAAATGTGAAGGCAGTAAGGTAAAGGTGTACTGCTCCAGATAGAAAAAGCATCGGGAACAACAATCCTGGCCAATTGAGCTGCAGACTAACGACCGCCACGAGTAACACTATAATAATGCACTTATTCACTCGACAGCCAAGTGATGCCTTCAGCTCGGAAGAGAGCCTTCACCGTCCTCGGCGCCTTGGCAGGCTCGGATACGACGAAGTCACGACGTCCGCACCCTCGAGTCCGCTTGATGTTCACCTTATACCGCACGCCGCCGGCCCAACACTTGCCCAAGAAGTCGTAATGTTCGTAGTCTGACTCAGGGTCAGAGCCCGAGCGCTCTGAATGCTGTTTTTGTTTTGCGAATAAAATTTGTTGGACGCCGACTAATATCACGCCATTCTTTGCAACACAATCCATGACGAATTTTGTGATTTTGTTGTAATATTGTTCCGTGTTTTTCCACGTTTCGAAATCAAAGCTTCGATCATGCCAATAAAAGTTCGAGAGACTATCGACACAAATGAGAGACACCTTAGGATGTGTAGCCAGCAGCGTATCTAGAGACAGAAGTGTAGTTGCAAATTGAGCGCTGTACGTACATTTCAAGTATAAAAAATTCGCAAGACAACTTGCGAGAAGATCTTTTATCAAACGCTTTAGTTTAGCTCTGGATGTCTTCAAAATCCATGCCTGCGCAGCCAGACGAGAGCAATCCGATGAGCCTTGAAGAGTGAACTCTCTACTTGAATCGCCTCCCGATTTGCGCTCATCAAAGACATCAGTTGATTTGTCTCTGCGTGGTTCAGCAACACCAGACACCGAACAAGAAGCTGCATTACAATATTTCACATCTTGATTACATTCAACAGGAGTAACCTTATTTTCTAATGGGAGTTCAGCGCAAATCTCTCCAGGCGTGTTAGGAGAGGTTGTCTGCCGCGGGTCTGACAATGGCAACTCAGATTTAAGTCGTATTCGGACAGCCCTCAGCTTCCTCCTGACGCGGGCCTCTGCAATGACGGAGAGCTGCAGGACACAGAAACGCAGGTCGGTGTCCAGGAGGGCGGCATGTGCCCCACACCCGCCCAGCTCTACACCTCTCCAGCAGGAGGGCAGGAGGGCGCTCGCCAAGAGGTCGTACAGAAGTAGGGAGCAGCCGCTGCCTGCATCACCGCTCACCTGTACAACAAAGTGAGAATAAAACATCACAAAATTAAAAAAATTCACGTCTATTAAAAGTGATAATTATTATAATTTTGGCTTCCGTAGCATAAAATGGTAGGCCTTCACAGTAATCAATCTTATTTTAGTCAAATTTTTATTTAAACTTTACGTAGGCATGCAAACATTTCATTAGCTTTAAGTATAAATTGACGCTTATACGAGCTCATTGCGTATCAGCGAGCTACGCTTGATTGTGGTAACGCCTAAATATTAGGAAAGAGTTCATCGTGATGATGCTTGTTTAATCATTTGATCGGCTTTGTTCTTTAATGAGCTTCACTTACAGGAAAAAATTTGTAAGGAAAACACAATCCTTCAACTGTGCGTGTCTATGAATGGATACCTTACTTCCATTTTTTCATTTAATTGTAAACATTTCACAATATAATTGCATAATATAATTGTAATTATATTGTTTTTCACAATATAATTACACCGCCCTTTCATCAGTCTCACTTTCACTTGTAAAATCGTGATCACTAGGAGCAATATAAAATTTTCATGAACGTCTGTCTATCAATATACTGACCTGAACACATTGCCCGGAACTGAGCTGAGGGAACAGTATGGGGTTGAGAGCTGCCACAGACGGCCGGTCTGCCGCGCGTGCCAGCACCGACACTCCGCTCTCTCCCACCCACGCGGCCCCCGACCGTAGCATCGCTACCACAGAGTCTCAGGCGACTACGGATATCTTTACGCCTTTCAAAACTGCCTAAAATTTTAGGTGAATTAATTCACATTGAGAATATTTTTCAAAATAAAGTAACGAAACGGAATGCTAACAGGCGTGGTGAAATATATTGAAAGGTTTTGTGAAGATGGAATAATCATGTTCAGAATTAAGTGTATGATGTTAATAAGAGCCAAAGTCTTCCAGTTGCCTCAGAGGCGAATTATTTTAGCTCTTTCTGAGGCCTAATAAGCTGGGAATAATAGAAGTGTGATATTTCATTTGCGAACCGTACTTGGCCACTTGTTATTATACAGGGTGTCAAAAAACTCCACCAAAAATCAGACAGATCGATGTAGCCATATGCGTTTGATAGAACTTTCAGTGACATGTGCTAAAATCGTGCTTGCGCAAAGTTTTAGTAAGATCATTTTGCATAATCATTACGATGTCTTGACATGTTTTCTTTTCGCAGTTTTATTTTTTGTATCTTTGGAGAGACAAAAACATGGCAATCTTTGGAGAGAGACAATCATGGCAATCTTTGGTGAGAGGGAATTTCAAAACCAAAGATTGCCTCTCACCAAAGATTGTTATGATTGTCTCTCACCAAAGATTGCCATGATTGAGTCTCACCAAAGATTGCCATGTTTTTGTCTCACCAAAGATACAAAAAAATAACAGCGAAAAGAAAACATGTCAAGACATCGTAATGATTATGCAAAATGATCTTACTAAAACTTTGCGCAAGCACGATTTTAGCATATGTCACTGAAATTTCTATCAAACGCTTATGGCTACATCGATCTGTATGATTTTTGGTGGAGAGATGCAGAAAAACATAGGGAACAAATCCTGACCTTCCAAAATTTTTAACTCAATTACTTTTCGAGTTACAGCCATTTAAAGTTGAGTATCGTTTTTTTTTGGGACACCCTGTAATATGGTCATGACAGCAGCCATTCTGAGCAACGCTTAGTAGCATAGTTACAGAATTTGCAATGAAAACTGAGAAATACATTGCTCGCAACTGACATTACTATTTTCACCAATGAATTATTACTCGATTTCTATTTAAAGCACGTGAAAAAAGACCAGTAAATCCATCAATTCAACGCACGTGTTTAATCAATTAGTTAAATTTTATATCAAGCAAGTCATTTATTCTTCAAGGCAGAGGGCTGAAGAGGCAAGGAAGGCCAGTCCTTTCGGCCGGTACCTAACAAATCAGGACGAATAATGGTCTTGTGCAAACTCGCTGAGGGCGAAAAGCAAATTGATTTGAACAATTTTTAGAGACAATGGATTAATTTTGTTCATTGTTGATAAACGAACTCTGTGATGTATGTATTCAAATACTAGTCAGAACCATTCATCGCGAGCGCCATGTTGAAAGTAGGAGTTTGTACCGACCGCTTTAACCACATCCAATCACTGCTATCAGCGAACTTTCTTTCAGACAAGAATAAAGGACATTCAACAGCACAGTTTAAATAGTAATAGAGTGTAATAAGAACATCTTTAATTTCCATGGAACATATTTAGCAGTTTTTCGATAGCGAATCAATTCATGGGCAGCCACCATACTTCTGGACTTCTTGACGCCGTCGCTGATTAAGGTGCAGGCCTCTTGACGCCGAAGGCCGAGTTTACATAAAATGAAAGATTGGTCCAACCCGATAGTTAAATTCAATAAGTTTCGTTTTTGTTACACATAGAAAGAGCTCAATGTCAGGATATTGCTCATGCCACAATCACTTTAGTCTAGGCGTAAGATTTAATATTCCTAAATGCACTCGCGAGCATTTCATGATGAAAATCCCACATATTCATCAGATCACAGTAAGGAGGATAGGCTCCTAGGGTAGAACACGGCATTTCTGGCTGGCTACTGAAGGTGCAGTGAGTATCAGTGACATTGGATTTGGCGGGTAAATGAGCTTCAGTTCTATTATGGGTACTTTTTAGATGAATTACAACGGTGCGGCAAATGCATGGCTGATGAAAATTAATTGAAGAATCAGTTTGACTACGGGGCTCTATCTTACAGGCTGTATTCCAATCACGTCTTCAATACATAGAAATTTTTTCCAAAGTAATGGACAAATAAAATAGAGATAAGTTCTACCAAGTAGAGAGGTAGTCAAAGTATTGAAAAAAAATCGAGGAATCAAACTTGTCATGATTAACTGAACAGACGAGAAGAAAATAACGACCGTGCATGGAAAATATCAGTAATTTCAGGATACTATAATGCGAGAAAATAAGTATAAGTGAAGCCCTTAAAACTTATAATCAGGATATCACTAACAGAGGAATTGAACTACTGGAAAAAATGTCGTACCAGGGATCATGCCAGATGAATATCTAAAGAGTGGGATTGGACTCAGAAAATGTAGGTATTATTCACATCAGTGCAGCCCACCAATTCAATTTCACTGGGCAATTTCTATCAGAAAACTTTCGAGGTGCAAGGTAATGATTGGACGAGTTCATGCACCGCGCACAGCCAGACAATTACGCACGCATAAGAGTAACATCACTTGGTGAGACCGTAGTTCAGGTAGATATTACTTCGTACACCGTGAAGAAGTGATATGAACATACCGTCACTAGGTGCATAATCACACACTAAGTTGTATATTTCGCAGGCAGATTCTCACCCGAGTAACATCAATGTTTACATTATACAAGTTTTTAAGTCAAAGTTGACTGCATTAGGCAGTATTTGTCCAGCGCATCGAGTTAATATAACGAATCTCCCGCTGTAACCTTCATTTAGAAGTGAACAAACTGAAAACAAAGCCCAATTGACCTCAGTTTACATTGAGGATGCACGAGTTTATTCCAATTACAATGATTAAAGTAATTCATTCGTTTAAAATATTATAGTTTTCATTTCACCTAAGGAAGCAACACTCAGAATTTGGTTCAGAACCAAAACCATTTCATTAGAATCAGGACAGCAAAGTAGCGGAAAAGCTTCTAAATAATCACGGTCGTAAGGGCATAAACGATCTAGATATCGTGAATCATTCTAATAATCTACGAAATGTTTTAAACCTAATCCTCGATCAGAATCCATATTAGGTAGTTTGACGCTCTTATTACTAACGATCAGCTTCAGAAGTTGCGGGAATACAGCGAGTGAGCCGGAAAGTTAAGAAAAAGTGTCATGTCTAAGCGATGTAGTTGTAGGCATTTGGATTGTCTTTGTCTCGTTCCATGTAGTCTCGGTCGATCAAAGACTCGATGCGCTTCTTCAGATCATTAGCCTGTAAATTAGAGAGAAAAAAATAAATTTCAAAATTTAGTATGAAATATAATAATGCTTGAATTCCCAAAGCAATTGGCATGATGTCAGCATTGGATGCCAAATGCACTGACCACGAGTTACAACTAAGGAAACAAGATACCTAACTGATGCAAGTAAACTTAGAACTAATGAAACAAGATGCCTAAGTAATGCAAAGTAAACTTATTGGCAAGCAACAAACCTTGACGGGGAACTTGAGTTGGTCGAAAAGTTCGGTAATAAGGTGGTTGTGAGTGAGATTTTTGCGAGTCTTCATAATACGGACGACCGCCGCGTCGATCTGATACTGCCGGTCCTGATACACGCGCTCCTCGGTCTTCAATTGTTCCTCCACCTGCACGACAAGGTTGCGTATCATGCATACAAACGTTCACTGGAAAAACTATACTAAAACATTCGCAATCATGACGCAACTATACCAACATTCGCAATCATGACGCAACTATACCAACATTCGCAATCATGACGCAACTATACCAACATTCGCAACCATGACGCAACTATACCAACATTCGCAAACAAATCCATAACTGTGACATGTAGAATCTGACTAATACAAAGAGAATGTAAAATTGCCGGCAATTTACTCTAAATTATAAGAACCATCACGACTGAACAGAATGCCAGAAGTGTTAAAGAATCGCGCTTATTTCGCGTCCATTCGCTAAGAAAGAGAAATGGTGCTTGCTTAGACCCTCAAGTAAATAACATCAGTCAGTAGCGCTACACTTTGATGTTGATTAGATTCAACGATAAAGTAATCAGCGGTGAGCGCGCATAAAGAATCATTCAACATCACTACCAAATATTTGCCAACAGAATAAAAAATCTCGTATTATAACACACGCCCCCAAATGTGCAGTATCGAATATTATGGTTACTATATTAACAATTTAGCACTTTCATCTCCGACATGAACATGGAAGTTTCTGGCAACGAGTGAGATAGTTGGAAAGTTGAAATATTTAGATGGGCTCAAAAAACTGTGAATTGTTTGAACGCAACAAAAGAAAGCTAAAATAGTCAGAGGAGTCCGTAAAAGAACTGTTCATTGCTTGTGAAAGGATATATAGAGCAGGACCTACCGTCTCTTTGAGCTGGATCTGGTTGATGCGGATCCTGAAGAGCTGATTGGTGAAGTCAGCGTTGTAGTGAAACACGTCGCTGTCTTCCACGTCTTTCCCGCGGGGAGTCTTGGTGAGCACTCGCGCCTTGCCGCACGCTAGCGACTGAAGTGTGCGTTTTAGGTTTCCGTCCTGAAAGCAGAAAATAATAAGTGACTGGTATGAAACAGATATATTGAATCAAAAACGTTATTTTTGTGCCAATTCGAGCCTCAAGTAAGTAGATCAAATAGGAAAAATTAATAAGACATGCCATAACATAGAGCATCTAAATCAACCAAAAGAAATTTATTGATAGATTTCTTGATAGCGAGCAGTTACATGACATTTAAGTATATGGATACTGGAAACCTGAGACGACATTCGTACAGTTATATTTTCTAAGAGTAAATAGCTATGCGGGACAATAATTTCAATATTACGCACATCAATGTTTGTGAGCAACCTGATGAAGACATCGGTATAAACAGTTATATTTCCTAAGAGTAAATAGCAATGCGGGACAGTAATGGTATCAATAGTACACACATCAATGTTTGTGAGCAACCTGATGAAGACATCGGTATGAACAGATTTATTTAATAACAGTAAATTGCAATGCAGGATAGTAATGGTATCAATAGTACACACATCAATGTTAGTGAGCAAACTGATGAAGACATTGGTACAAACACTTATATTTCATAACAGTAAATAGCAACGCGGGACAGTAATGGTATCAATATTACACACATCAATGTTAGTGAGCGCTTTGATGTCAGCGTAGGATTGGTCGTCAGTTGTATTGAAGAGCAGCAGCACCAGGGCTTGGAAGAGTGACACTTGCAGCTCCTTATCTCCAGCCTTGAACTGCGCTCTGATCACGCAGTGTCCCAAGGTGCCTTGCCACTGAAATAAACACGCATGAGTTCCTCTACATACACAACTGATCAACGAATACTAAAATAAATCAGCAGAAACAACGTCAAGTGTTTGATAAAAAATATAACTCAGTACTCACTGCAGTGAGTGGAAGAGAGTGCATTTTCTCGTCCGTCCGTGGCGAACATAACAAGCAAAATAGCGTCTTTTTTTCCATAAATGAGAAAATGCGCTAAAAACATGAGTTCATCGCGCATCCACACACAATTATTTTCAGGAAGAAAATATTTCCATATCTCACCTAGAAAAGGAAGCTATGACACAAATAGACCATAAATTTAAGTTTTATAAACTCTCAGTGCACAATCTGAATCAAATATTTCAAACTTGATTGGATGGTAAAACAGGTCATCATTTCGGTCCACATTCCACATCTGGTCCCCACGCCAATCTGGTCCACACGCCACATTTGACTCTCACGCCACATTTGATTCTCTGCCACATCTGGTTCTCACGCCAAATTTGGTTCTCACGCCACATTTGATTCTCATGCCACATTTGGTTCTCACGCCACATTTGGTTCTCACGCCATATTTGGTTCTCACGCCATATTTGGTTCTCACGCCACATTCGGTACTCACGCCACATTCGGTACTCACGCCACATTTGGTTCTCACAGCACATGTAGTTCTCCCAGCACATGTAGTTCGCATGCCACATTTGATTCTCACACCACGTTTGGTTCTCACAACAGATGTAGTTCTCACGCCACATATGGTTCTTGCACCACATTCGGTTCTCACACTCCAACTGATCGTTGTACTGTATTTACTTACCCCAAATTTTTTGCTTCTGCTTCTTCCTGTCTAATCATTATATTTCTGAAATATTTCATACTTACCATAAGTTTTCTGCCGCTGTGCTTGTTCCTGTAAAACTCAGTGAATATCTTCTGGTACTGGACCATCTCGGGGGAGAGGATGAGCTCAGAGTCAGGGTAGGAGGGCCAGAAGCCGTGAGTAAGGATGCTCACGCTCAGCTCCATGGACAGGTTGGTGTTGTGCCGGGCCGTGTTCTGTAGGTGCTGTAGGGAACATGTCAGGTAGTCTTTCGGGGCTATTATTATAATCTTATAATCATTTTACGAAGCAGTTATCGAAGCGCCTGCCTGGTTCAAACGAACTTCTAGGGCACGTTACACGTAAGTTTAATAGCAAGTGAAAAATAGATTGACACGAAGTAAAGTGAGACCGGATAGAAATTACCAAGCACTTGATCTATAGGTTCTACAAAATAGTTCCATCTTTTGTCGTCGACGAAACACCTGCAACGAAGGAGCCAATGTTACGGAAGCCGGCAGACTGTTCCAGGTTCTGGCGGCGGCAACCGGAAACGCTTTGTCGCCGACGGTAGATAAACGTGTAGATGGTACGACGAGGTCCGCTGTTGATGACGAACGCAGTTGTCTTCTAGAAGGCAGATCCGACACGCGTTGCACATTCCGTGAGATAGGGAGGCGTAAGACCGTGATGGCATCGAAACGTCAGAACAACGACCTTGAACTACGTGCGCTGCTGCATGCGCAGCCAGTGAAGATCGCGCAATATCGGCGTCACATGGTCGTATTTTCGCTTATTGCACACGAGTCGAGCAGCAGCGTTCATTACGGATTGCAGTTTATTCAGGAAGTCCATAAAGTGTGGCATTACCATAGTCCAATCTGGTCAGAACGAGCGCCACCACAAGGGCCTCGAGAGACAGCGGCTGACGCCACGTAATCGTCGCAGAGCGCCAAAATATGCGGTGGTTGGCAATGTGATTGTTCATAGAAAGTTCTGAGTCCAGCAGAAGAGCAGAATGCCTAGGTTGCGAACCGAAGATGCAGGCATGACGAGCTCGTTGCCCACGCGAACAGGATTGTCCAGAAGATGTGCTAGAGCCGAGAAGTCGCAAACCAAATAAAATCGTTTTTGCTGCATTGAGCTGCAGCAGGTTGGAGCGCATCCAATCTGAGGCGGCGGCCATGCAGATAGACATCCGGTCCTGCAACGCTGCAGCGTCAGCTGGCGCACAATAACCATAAAATTTGGGTGTCGTCGGCAAAAATATGCGGATTGAAACTATGTGAATAAATTATGTAGAACACGTCGACAGTAAATAACAGGAATAGGATTGGGCCGAGAACTGATCCTTGTGCTACGCCGCAAGTGACCAACGATGGCGTAGAAGAAGAGTTCCCGCGTCGAAAGCATTGGAATCTATTGCTGAGATAAGACTCGAACCTCAGCAGCACTGTGCCGCGCAGGCCGAATGATACGTCAAGTCGACGCAATAAGGTGGCGTGGTCGACAATATCAAACGCGGCCGACAGGTAGAGTAAAGCTAGTGCCGCAATGTCGCCGCGGTCTACTGCTCGTAGAAAATCTGGAAGCACCTTCAGCACAGCGGTTTCCGTCGAGTGGACATGACTGTATGTTGACTGGAGGCGAGATATGAGACCGGAATGCTGAAGATGGTTGTTCAGCTGTCGCGCCACAACACGTTCCAGGAGTTTCGACGCAATCAACAGGTAAGAGATGGGTCGCTATGATTTGTAATCAGACGCGTCACGGCTTGTTTTTTTTCAATAGAGGCGTAATGTAAGTTATCTTATTGTAATTTGAAGTTCTCTGGAACAAGACCGTCAGTGAGGCAGCGCTTGAAAAGTTCGACCAGAAAAGGTGCTAGGGTTAGGAAATTCCCCATAAGTAACGCCGTCGGCAGCGGATCGCTGGCACACTGCTTGTTAGGCAGCGCGCGCACTGCAGCGATGGCATCGTTAGTTGTGATGCGAGTGAAATCTTGGAGCTCGCAGTCGAACGGGCACGGTGCATATGTTGCCGACGGAGCATCGGCTGATGATGCTCGCACAACAGAAATTTTGTTTAAAAAACCGCGTGGAATTCCTCCACGCTTACGTCACCCAAAGCATTTGTATGACCTCTTTCCATAAGTTTATGTTCGCACAGTAGACAGCCCGCTGGAGCAGTCAAACCCCCCCTCCTCCCGCTTCGAGACTCGACATTCATCATCAAACCATGGGTCGGAGACTCGTTGGGGTACCCGAACTGTGCGTGCATAAATGAGTTCATCGAGTACACAGGTCAGTTCGGTACTGTAGAGTTGCACGAGGTCGTTGACTGACAGTGCCGACCATAAGATCAGGCCGACATAGTCAGGACGACTGCAGCTTTTCGAGAAGAGACGTCGCCGTCGAGACCGCGCCACGGACGACAGGTATAACGGTCTTGTACGCTGGCACGGGCGCACACACGGCCCCGTCCGCTGAAGTAGCCGATGGTCGAATAATGCGATCTCGATTATGTAAACTGGTTTAATTTCACGGTCAGCGTGATGACAACGTCCAGCAGTCTGCCCAAGACGAGCATCAGCAAGGTCACATGACACACCATGCCAAAGGTGGAAGCAGGTCGTTCAGCTGACTACGCGATACAGTCGAATATCGCCAGTGATAAGGACATGATCGGGGAAAGTCACAAGTCTTGTGAAGACACCGCGCAATTCTACGAAATAATCGCGAGACACAGCGACCGATCCAGGACGGTAGATGGTGACTGCAACGCCCGTTAACGAGGCCCAAAAGTTGTGGGTCGCACGCGCCGATGCCAAGAACGGCAAGGTGCACGCCCCTGCTGGCGACGGTAGCTACTCCACCGTAATTCATCTCCAGGGTGTTGGGTGGCATGCGGGGCCGCGCGCGCTCGACTACCTCGAGTCATTCAGCGCGAAGACGCGCGATGCAAACCCAGTCAGCGTCGTGCCACATCTCGGTCAGGAAGACAACATCTAATGAGCGCGAGTGACATGTGTGAAGAAACTCATCCACCTTATTATTCAGCGAACGGATGTTGAGGCAGCAGAACGATAACAGCCGACACCACACAGTGGCGATCAACACAAACGCTACGCAAATTTTCAGTCCCACGGGTCGACAGGCCGCTGCTCAGCAGCAGCATTCGCAGACGTTGAATTAGTCGCAAGTGATTTCCGCCGTAGCAGCGGCCTATTGCCAGTGATAACGAACAAACCGTTGTCGCTCGAAAGGTGGCAGCAGGACGCCTATTTTGGTCAGCACGGCATACAGGATAAGATATGCGAGGTGTGGGGATGGTGAGGTGACTAAATCTACTCCCTCGCAGAGGGATGGATCAAAAGCTGCAGCAGCTGACCGCAGGCCAAGCGGTCGCGGCGCTGTTTAGGCTAATGGCGCCGTGAATGGCAGCCTTGAGTCATAAAACAATGACGCACCTCTACAGTCAGCTAGCAGCTGAATAAAGCGAACGTCAAAACGAATACTCACAATATAGTCCACCCAGTCAATACACACTTAGGTCGACGAAGTTTGCGTCAAGCAAGCTACGCGAGTAGCAAGAGAAACCCGGGACAAAGACAGAGCCTGGCGTCACGTCCGCTCCAGTCATCTTCAGATTCAAATGAAGATGACCGAACAGACCAAGATGACCGATTGGTGTCGGGACAGTAACGGTCGCCCACAGTCAGATTAAAGTCACAGTCAGATTTAAGGCAAGTCAACTCGAACAAAAACCACAATACAGTCCCCGGTCAAAGTCACGCTGACATCGAAGTAGCTTGCATCAAGCAAGCTACAAGAGCAGCTAAAAAAGTATCAAATGGAACCTGGTGACGTACGCCAACTCCAGCCACATTCAAATTCAAACTAAGATGGCCGATCAGACCAAATAGGCCGAAAAACCAAGATGCCAAACTTACCAAGATGATTGATCGGTTTCGGAACAGTAACGGTCGCCCACAGTCGGATTTGAAGGCACAGAATTCAATGTCGGAAGATATTCAAAGCGTGGTCCTCGTAGTCAAAAGAAATTATTTATACCGATTTGCGTATTTTTCCACATGAGGGTATAAATTTTTACACTGGCGTACGTTATAAACGGAGCACGTCCATCTGTAGCCCCAGCCGGAGCAAGACACAAAGGTTTAGCGTTGGCATTCAGTCTTTCAGGTACAACGTTGGCTATTCTAACTAGAAAAAATACTCACTTAATAATAGTCATGTTATTATCATAATCTTTAGTTCAAGTTCAATGAACTCACATAATTTTCAATGGAAATCATATTTACGTTTCAATCAAATAAATCAATCGACGTTCGAAAAGTTAGTTAGTCACAGCCACACAACCACGGCAAGAGAAGACAAATTAAATTACTTTTCAACCTATACAATACCTGCTTGAATGAGAGCATGAAGTCCTTAGAAAGCTCCATGTCCTTAAACATGCCTTCAAGTTTGCCCGTGAAATTAGGCCCACACTCAGCCTTCAGTTTGCTCAGCATGCTCTTCTCGGCGTCCACGCTCGCAGACTTGCCCAGCAACAGACGCTTCGCCAAGTCCTGACAAATTTATTAAATTAATTGAGTCTTCTTTTTAGCGCATTTTCTCATTTATGGAAAAAAGGCGCTGTTGTGCTCGTCATGTCCGTCCGTCTGTCTGTCTGTACATCCGTGACTTCACGTTTTCGTCGACGAGAAAATGCGCTCTCTGTCACTCACTGCAGTGAGAACTGAGTTAAATTTTTTCAACTCAGCGCAGCCATGCCGCGCTAAACACAGAAATAATTCAACTCTACTTTTCTATTAGAGTGCAGGCAAAAAATAAAGACTTGTTTTTGTACCGATAAATTGAAATTGATTCAAAGTCAACAGAGTTGATGCATACCAGAAATTTACTGGCCCTCATATCGTAACTTCAATAATGAGTTAAAATTTTTGAAAATTTTACAACATTCAATTTAAAATTTCTAACATTTACAAATAATTGCAAAAAAAAATTCACAAATTGAGAGAAGACTTACTTTTTTATAGAAGGCTTCAAAGACGTCTTTGCCGTTGATGAACCTGAAGAGAACCATGATCTTGTCCAGCAGTCGCTCGAGCTCGTCTTCCGTGGCCTCCTTATTGCCAGCTCTCAATTTACTGTCTATGAACTTTGCTGCAGGTATAAAATTATTGTCGTTATATTTAATATCGAACACGTGCAGAGAAGGCATGAGTTCAATGAGAACTTCTTCGCCACAAGTCACATCCACAATCTGTTCTAAGTAAATGTAAAAGCAAGATAATTGCTAGCCTAATTGGACAAATTAAATTTCACAGGCGCTATAACAATCACGTGGCAAAAAAACATACAATTATCTTCATATGAAGTAGGAAAATGTAAGGAATTTGGTAGTTGTGAAAAAAATTGCCTTGCCCAAACAAAAACATAATGTAACATCTTATGAGACGAATTTCATACCATTCATTCTTGAGAACATAAGTAACCAATTTTGATGCATCGATCACTTGCAAAATTTATGTGAACCCTCATAATTTCAATACAAGCTCAATTTTAGAGCCATGAGCACACTTGAACTGCCTGCTCACCGATGAGTTCAGCAGGTTTGTTAAGCCGAGTATTGATGAAGTACTCAAAGGCTTCTCTGACGGCCTGCACAAACTTATCATTGCGACCACAGCATTCGTTGACCATCTCGTCCAGCCTGTCCTTGAACGTGAGAAGCTCCTGCACCATAGCCTTGTCCTTCAGAGGCTCTGTTACAATCGTCTTCCCATGTGCCTGCAAATTTGTTAAAATAACAATACATAGAAACTGAGAAAACACAATTGCATTCTCATAAAACAAAAAATGTATACATAAATTAATAGTAACAATAAACTAAATAAACAAAAGAAAATATGGACGTAGAACTTGAGTCTGTCAATGACATCACAACAGATCAGTAGGGACAAATACTTTGGCTGAAATTTATGATTAAAAAGATCGTATGTTACAAGAGTCCATATCCGTGCCGAATACAAACCTTGATGTGAGCATTGAAGCTGGAGCAGAGGAGTTGGTGGCCACCCTTGACGCGCCCCATGAGGTTATAGAGCAGCCTGAAGTCATCCTTGCGATGTTCATTGAGCATGTCATCCAAGCCTTTCTGGATGATGGTGGTCTTGTGCTCACCCAGTAGCTGCTTCACCAGCAGGTGCACCAACTGGGGCCTGAAAGGCAGCTTATTTATGACCTATCAAATGATGACGCTAGGAAAGCCGTCACATTTCAAACATAACGCCTACGGTATCCTAACGAGTTATTTAAAGAAAAGATAGTCTTATTACAACACTTCTCTTTAACTTCACTTCTTGTTTGTTTGTTTGTCTGTCTGTCTGTCTGCTACAAATCTTATAATCGATATTTAACACACTTCTACCTGTCCAATCGATCTGAAATTTGGCACACTTGCGTAAAGTTGGAGACAATGCATGAATCAATTGACAGAATAAATAATTTTATAAATAATTTTTTTTTATTTTCATGATTAAAAAATATTAAAAAATAATTTCGTCTGCTACAAATCTTATACCGTACCGTAAAATGGGGTTACTTTGACTGGCGAGGTAACTTTGACCACTTTTTGTTTTTTTAACAAAAACCCTCAAAACTCAAAAACGATTTGACATAGAAAAATTTTGGCAATGGCCATCAAAGGCCTAATACTGAGGCTACGTAACACAATAGAAAGATTTAAAAAGTTTGCATATCTAATAGGTTAAAAAATTAATAATGTGAGTATGTGACGGTGTGACCCATGAAAAAGAGCTATTATTTAAAGCCTGTCGGAGTACCTCCTCCAATTTTTTTATTTTTTGGTAAAATAACTCCAGGTTTTGATGCATTGTAGTAGAACTCTTCTAGTTACATATGCAAAAGACAAATTTTAGGAAAGTGTCATAGTTTGCAAATGGGGAACTTTGACCACCTAATGGCAGCCGTGACGGGGTAACATTGACCGGCTTGGAAATTAAGTTAAAATTACCATAGGTAACGTACCTATATAACATATTTTATGTTTGAAACACCTATTAATGTTTTTTTCTTTATGTTTCAGACTCTACAGAGTCTTATATATGGTAATTTTAACTTAATTTCCAAACCGGTCAATGTTACCCCGTCATGGCTGCCATTAGGTGGTCACATTTCGCCCATTGGGGGGCGGCGCCCCCCATTTGCAAACTATGACATTTTCCTAAAATCTGTCTTTTGCATATGTAACTAGAAGAGTTTTACTACAATGCACCACAACCTGGAGTTATTTGGAGTTATTTTACAAAAAAATAAAATTGATTTTACCACCTGGTCAAAGAAACCCCAAGAGCTGGGGTAACAAAGACCATCACTTTTTTTGAAATTGCATCAAAACTATGAGAGGCAGGAGCCAGCAATTTATGGTGAGTAAAGCTAAAGTATAGACCTGTATTTTGCATGTTTCAATTTAAGTTTAACTTATCTAGTAAAAAATGGCATTGTTTCGAAATAAAAAAGTGGTCAAAGTTACCCCATTTTACGGTAATCCATATATGACACAATTTGACCTGTCCAATTGATCTGAAATTTAGCACAATTGCATAAAGTTAGAGACGATGCTTGAATCAATTGACAGAATAAATAATTTTAAAAATTTACGAAATTTTGATATCTTAAAAATTTTTGAAAAATACTTTTTTTTTCAATATTTGAAAATAAAATTAGAAATTCATTGCACATGTGTAACATCCAAGACACTGAATTGTTCAGAAGTGTTGTCTTTAAAAAGTAATTTTTAAACGCATATTATTTTGGATTAGATATCGTAAGGAGCATTTTAAATGAAGGTAAGTAACCTTGTGGCATTATTGTCAAGGTAATGCAGCAGTCGATTGTTTTCCTCCTCCAGTCTCTTGGTAACATGACGAAGGTAGTCAGGAACTGTGAGCTCCTGCAAGAGGCGGCAACCTTCCCTGCTGTATAGCTCTTCGCTGCTCTGTAGAAACCTGGCAATCACAGGCAAAATTGTTGCGAAAATGACGTAAGTTAAGAATTGACAATTACATGAAACTTTACCTAACGAGAAAATTAAACATCCTCTCATAAATGGAGAGTTCAAGCAATAAAAAACAATGCAAATCATGTAAAACAATAACTGAATTTTCGGATGGGCTTTATTAGTGGACATTGGTAATATTAAAAAAATTGTATTAAGAACATTCCAGGAACATAAGCTTAATGAATATGATATATTTTTCAAAAAAGACAAATTGTAGCAGGAACAAAATTGACCTCACAAACACTAATAGAAGAAAGCTATATTGGCATACAAATATTTTCCACTGTTAGACTGAAATGAGCATAGCTGAATTCATAACAAGTTTCCCTCTAACCAGTAGAAGAGAAGTAGCAAGTAAATTGAAAACAATTTCACAAAAGCAACTCACTTTGTTTGGAAGACAGAAGTATAAAGATGAAGAGATGATAACATTCTGAGCAGACTCTTGATGAGGGAGCGATCAATGGTTTCTCCAGCCCGCTCCTTCTGCACCATCATCAGCAGTCCGTCTATTACTCTTGTCTCCACCACTGCCTCGCCCATCACGTGAACACGAAATAGTTCCAGGCCCATGTCCCTGCACACACACAAGTTCACAATACAAAATACATATTTGTTGGAGAATTCTCAAAAATAGATCAGTACTCACTGCAGTGAGTGACAGAGAGCGCATTTTCTCGTCAGTCCGCGACGTGAAGTCACGGACGGACGTACATGACGAGCACAATAGCAACTTTTTAGCGCATTTTCTCATTTATGGAAAAAAATGCCATATTTTGCTCGTCATGTCCGTCCGTCTGTCTGTCCGTCCGTGACGTCACGTTTTCGTCGACGAGAAAAAGCGCTCTCTGTCACTCACTGCAGTTAGTACTGACTGAGTTATATTTTTCCCTTAAATGAGAAAATTCGCTAAAAATGAAGAGCACTAATGGAATTTAAAGATTTATTCTTAAGTAAACCAAAGCCAGCAATGAAGTAGGAACACAAGCTGCTGCTCACCAGATGCTCATGACTTGAGAATTTTGCAGGACATAGCCACGGTCAAGAGATAGGAAAATATTGCACACCATCTTCATCTGATCACAAAATTGCTTCCAGCAAAAATTCACTTCTTTGAGGAAGACGAGCCGGTCAGCTGAACTGTCCAGAAGTTGTTTTAATCGTCGCATTATGTACAATTCCGTTACGTCTGCAACAATGGAGAGAAAGCATTCTGAATTATGAAAGCAATTACACATTAAATACATATTATTCAAGGTCATTACATATTATTCGGACGAGTCTTTGAAAACTTCGAAGTTTGTTGACTGACAAAATTATCAGCATGAATCAACTGTTTAGATCAAGCACACAATGATGTTAGGCAGAAGTTTTCAGCAAGACTCTTACCTTTGAGTCTATTGTAGAGCTCTTTTGGGCTCTGTGCAGTAATGAAGCTCTCAACACAGCGATACAAGTCCTCTTGGGTTGACCCATCAATGGCTGGTCGAGCTTCCTGAATGGCAAGCACAGCTTCTTCGACAACCTTCCACCACGCCGCAGTTTCGGCATCATCCTCTTCATAGGCTCGATAATGCTGTGAATTGTGAACTACATTGTAGCTCAATTTGATATCGGAATTTTTACCATGTAAATCCTTCTCTGTCTCCTCCATATCCGAGTTGCCATCTTCCATATCAGAGCCATCTGCGTCCAAGTCTGAAAAATTAGGCATATTAGCACGAATTGGCAGAGATAATTAAGAACATAAATTTAGAATAAAATAATTACCGGTATCTTATGTAAAATGGTATAAAAGAGAACTGAACTGACAATCCAACTTATCTCAAAATGGCAAATCAAAACTCAAACTTTATTAAAGAATTCCACACGTGACTTACAGGGCCTTATTATCTTATCTGGCTGTTGAAACCATATTTTTTCATTATTAATTCTTAAAGTCCTATTGAACATGAAATTAGTAACTCTAATAAATAAACATAAAAAACTTCCATTCTACTAATAACAATGCTGCCTTATCATGCTAATGGTCTTAAGTATAGGAGCACTGGCTGATTTAATGACCAGTAATGGTGATCAGTTTGACAAGTTCTAACATAAGGCAAAACCAGTTTCTAATTTCTACTGAAATTTATTTATATACCTACATTGTTATTCCAAGCCATTAATGATCTGTTTCCATTAAAAATCAGCTGTGTTATTTAGTTATTTTTTTATGTTTAATGTATTTGTCATTTCAATGATGTTTCTCAACAGAAGTGATTAGAAAATTTCAATTAGTCATGTCAGTCACTAGTACCATGTTCCCAAGATAGCCAGTATTGTACTAAGCTTTCCTTTGCAAGACTGTTTGTTTTGTAAATCTCTTCCTAATATTTTATTTGCATCCATCTCAATTATAAATGTTATTGGCCCATTTTCTCATGACTTTATCAATGATTTAAATCAGGGTTGGCAATGATTAAATCAAACTAGTTAAATCATTTGATTAAATCATTCGATTTTTTATAAAAATCATTATTTTTTCATTATTTTGATTTCTTTATTCTTTATATATTTAAATGTATTGAGTGGCAGTCTTTAATTTATTTCGAGGTATTGTTATTCATGGTTTAGTATAAATGTACTATGACAAATTGGAATATAAACCTGTTGCCTTTAGTGTGTATGTTGAATGAATTCATATATACAAACAAAAAACATACAATGAATTGTATGTTTTAGGTACAGAGGCATCAAGTGTTGCAATACATGGTACATACATAGCTAGCAGCTTAGCTAATTCTTATAAGGCTATAAGTAGTCTTCAACTATTTGACTATTTGTAATATATTAATTACAATATACAATTTAAATGTGTTAGCTAGCTTATATATTGAGAGGTTGAGATCGTATTGACCTTCTAGGCAATTAGAAAGATTTTCCACCCTTATATGAGTTTTCTAATTAAAATATTTAATTTCAATCTATAAATATGTGAATTTAAAAATAGAAAGAAACAGAACAGTTACAATTATAAAACTATATATAAAATAATTAAATGCAGTGAATGGAAATAAAATGTTTGAATTGTGCACATGTTTATTTGAAACTGTGTTAGCTTTTCTCATAACTTAAGTCTCGTTTCAAGTCATTTGAGGTTTGTTTGGTTATCGTTCAGTTTATGTTTAGTATTTGTTTAATGGTCTGAATCAAATGGGAACAGTGCAGTCAGTCACTCAGTCACTACTAGTTGGTGTGTTTAGAGGGTAGAATCTGGTCGATTTATAGGACATAAAACTAGTGGATCTACTGATAGTGTTGTGCACTGTGCTATCAGCTACCTATTTGTTATGTGACTCTTCAATGTTTAGAACAGTGGTTCCCAAAGTGGGTGATATCGCCCTCTGTGGGCGGTGGAAAGATCTGGGGGGGGGGGCAGTGAGGAAGAAAGGGGCAGTAGGGGGGCGGCAGTCCGCGAAGTCAAAGTCAGAAGTTCGTATGTTTGTTAGATGATTTGTACACAAAACGTGTAGAACATGACTCCAAATCAAATAAATTTTCACAAGCTAAAAATTACCATTTGTTAGTTAGGAATTTATATTCAAAATTTTGTTTGATTCTGTTCGCTAGTTTGGAAGAAATTCTTTAATCACTGCAAATTTCGGCCCATATTACCATCTAACTCCCAAATGAAAGTGAAATTTAAAAATTTTTCATGCGCTTAACATCACCGTTGGGTCCTAATAAATACCATCAAAAGGGGTAATAAGGGATGGTTTTGAGCGTTTTTTGTTGATAGCTTCTTACCATGAAACATTTCATAAACGAATTTAGGCTCACTTTAAAGGTCTTTGCTAGGGCTATTGTATGGCATCTCCAACAAAAATTCCATATGCTATTTGTAAGGTGCTAAATGCAATATAAAAGGCTCCTGAATTAATCTGGAAATGGGGTAATAAGGGACACTTGAAATAAAACTCAATTTTAAAATGTTTGAAGCATGCAGAGCATACTCATCTACCTACTACTAACAGTAGTACTCTGAAGTCCTCCTCTTCCTTTGTAGATGATGGAAATATAGAATAAATGACACTTTCTGTGATTTTTACTAGGTTTTTCTTTATGATATAATATTACCTTATCCATACATTACCGTATTATCAATGTGATATTACTTTATCTATGGACATGCCATTGAGCATTGACAACAACCTTGTCAACTGCAAATTTCATATTAGCAGCCATGTAGCATTTCTTCTGTATCTGTAAGCTTACAGGATGACTTGTAATTTCGCACAATTTTGATCAAGTCGAGTGATTTCACTATAACAAAAAAGATTGTAAAAAACATACCTGAAACAGGAAGGAATACTTTAGTGACAACCATCATATTTTTTGGAGAAATAAATCATAGTTTAGGTTAATTACTTTTCATTCTTTGTTGCCTAGTGCTCAATTCTATCTATCACATTCCATGCACAAGTTAGTGATGACTGATGCTGCGATGCAGTAATTTTTTGTCAAGTGAAATTTTTTTCACTGAGCGAGGTAAATGTAATCAAAATTCTTTGTTGTTAATTGATTTTTTTCATTAACTGGAGTCTTTGCTAACCAAGGTTCTACTGTAAATGCAATTTTAGGGGTGTCCTTTATTACTCCGGGGGGTGTCCCTTATTACCCTGTTTTGCGGAAATGGCCGCCATTTTTTCATGGAATGAGATATTCAAATTCTGTCAATCACGTTTTTAAGCCTACACCAGTGTGCAACTTTTATACAAGTAAAATTTTTCAATACGACAAATATTTTTTCTGCTACAGACCTTAGCAGAGGTCCTTTTCCAAAATCTCACTTTTCACACTTTTTTTCAGGGAATTTTTAGAGGTAATAAATGTATGATTTCTCAACTTGCGTTATGCTGCATAGATAGTAAAAATGTTTAACTTTACGCCACTATTTTGATTAGTTTAGCGGTTACAACATTTCTACAAAATGTTGCAGTGTAAAAAAATGTATCAAATTTTACTTCACATACCCTTATTACCCTATTTGACGGTACGTTTTCCAAGTTTTATCAAGCTGCGTTCATTAGTTTGGGAGATATTCCTTTGTCACTGAATTTGGAGATTGGCCGTGAGACCGGTTGGGAGACCAGCCACAAATCTGGCCATAAATTTACCCAAGTTGTCTCAAATTTCTAGCGCTGAAACATTTAAAACTGCAAAAAAATATTTTGGTTTACTAAATGGGGCTCTATTTGTGAAATACACATTTGTGTCTAACCTTTCTCTTTTAACATTGCAGCATACTAAATATCAAGAAAGAAGCATTTGTTTTTATGCAAGTCTGTTGGGAGGTGGGTGTTGCTAGAGATTCAAGCAAGATCATAAGTGAGTGAAACAAAGAAGTGCTGTTGCCATGAGGCTTCTGATCCCTTGTCACTCAACCCTCATGCCTTTTATTGCACAGTAGTTTTTGTCATCTATTTATTTTACATCCATTCACGTTTGTCTTTTTGTTCCATTTGTTTCAGCTGCACTAAGTGGTGACAATATACTAAAGTAAATTACATTAAAGTAAATTCCATTATTATAATTATCAATTCTCCAAGTGAATTCCTCATTCAACTTCATCAAGGAGTATGCTGCCAAAACTGACAGGCTTTCCTGCGTCACTCTGAAGAGTGAGTATTAGCAAGGCTGTATCCAATATTCTTTGGTTAATGCGCTTAGAAACCTGTCCAGTACCATAAAATAGGGTAACTTAGACCACTTTTTTTACAAATGATGCCATTTTTTTACTAGCAAAAAAGTGATGGTCTTTGTTACCCCAGCTCTTGGGGTATCTTAGACCAAGTGGTACATTCAATTTTATTTTCTGGTAAAATAATTCCAAATAACTCCAGGTTTTGGTGCATTGTAGTCGAACTCTTCTAGTTACATATGCAAAAGACAAACTTGAGGAAAGTGTCATAATTTGCAAATGGGGGGTACCACCCCATAATGAGGGAAATGTGACTACCTAATGGCAGCCCTGATGGGGTAATATTGACTGGCTTGGAAATTAAGTTAAAATTACCATATATAAGACTCTGTAGAGTCTGAAACATAAAGAAAAAACATAAATAGGCTGTCAAACATAAAATATGTTATATGTGGTAATTTTATATTAACTTCCAAGCTGGTCTATGTTACCCCATCAGGGCTGACATTAGGTGGTCTAAGTTACCCCATTTGGGGGCATATTGTGTTATGTAGCCTCAGTATTAGGCCTTTAATGCCCATTGACAAAATTTTTCTATGTCAAATAGTTTTTCAGTTGTGGGGGTTTTTGTTAAAAAAACGAAAAGTGGTCTAAGTTACCCCGCCGGTCTAAGTTACCCCATTTTATGGTAACTATTTAATTGCTATAATGTCTTAATTTGAATTACTCAGTATTCCAAATTAATTTTACTCTGGATTTTCTAGAGAATCAGCTCAATGCTGCGGTTTCATAGTCACCTCAGTTTTGTTTACAATTAGTGATTGTTATTCTGCTTTCATTTAGCATTTGATTGTTTACCATTTAATTGACCTGATGATTTTGAAGTTATGTTCATGAGTGTCATAATTCTTATTTAGTCTATCCTTTTACTTCCCACAACTCCTTAGAGATTGAGGGAAGAATTGGTTTATGTTTGGCCTGGTTGGTGGTTTGCGGTGCATTTTTACCTTAAGCTGCATCTGTCCACTTGCTAGGCAACTGTTTTA